TGGGGCAATGTCATTCTTTCTGATGGAGGCACAGAATTCCATTGTGTATATATACCACATTTTCTTGATCCATTCATCTACTGAGGGGCATTTGGGTTGGTTCCATCTCTTAGCTATGGTAAATAATGCTGCAATAAACATAGTTGTGCTGGTAGCTTCAGTATGGTCTTGTTTGTGATCATTTGGGTAAATGCTAGTATATGTCTGAGACAAGCAGAAAAGTTCAGAAAAGTTGATGTTAGGTGAAATGAACCCCAAGATAAGTACTCAAATGTTTTTTCTTCCATGCAATTGTTTCTAATATATTTATTTTTTTAATTTTTATTTATTTTTTGTTGTGAAAATACTGGGCAGAGGGGTTACAATTACATGGGCAAGATAATGAGTACATTTCTTATCAAGCATTGTAGCCTCCTCCTTTGTTTCCCCTTTCCATCCCTTCCCATCCTCTCCTCGCCCCCCCCAACCCTCCCCACCCCACCCCCACCAATGTTGTAAATTCGTTTCGACATAACAACTTGTATTTCTCATTGTTGCAACGGGTCCACCTGTATCCTTATTTAAACGACTTGTTTTTCCCCCTTCCCCTCTACAAATCATATGGACAACAAATACAGTGAAAGCATGGGTTATACTGTGGGGGTTTCTAATATATTTATAAGATGATTTCTTTGTTGCTTTGTATGTCCCTCCCCCACAGTATAACCGCTGCTTTCACTGTATTTGATGCTGGTATAATTTGTGGAGGGGAAGGGCAAACACAAATCGTTTAAATAGGGATACAGTTGGATGAGTCATTATGTTGAAAAACGAACTTTACAACTTTGGCCGGGGCGAAGGGCGGGGGTGGAGGGGAGAAGAGAGGGAGATGGAAAGGGATGGGAAGGGGAAACAAAGGAGGAGGCAACAATAACAAATGTACTCATTACCTTGCCCATGTAATTGTAACTCCTCTGTACGGTATTTTCACAATTAAAAAAAAAATGAACAACAACAAAAAAAGAATCCTTACAATGAAAGAACTTTTTTTTTTTGCATGCTCACAGAATTATAGCGATTTGCAGAAAAAGTAGCATTAAGTCCACAATGTCATGTTTTACAACCACATAAAATACTGTATGACTCGGTAACGAGAATATGTGATCCTTATTTTTATGCTGCCCTTCTCATTGAAGTAACAGTGGTCTCATCGTACACTATCTATGGCTTGTTAAGAAATAGCCCAGTAAAGCAATGAACAGGTCACAAGCACCTCTGTGATAGGCCTTGCTCTCTCCACTTTCTTCATAAGGGAAATGAAGCTAAAGGACGTTAGAGCCAAGGAAAAGGGCCTGGGCTAACCTTTTACCTTCCATTATTGATATTCCCAAACCAGAAGCCATCAATGCCAACACAAAGCTGAGAAGACACCACCAGATGTAAATAACTGGTCTACTTGTTTGGATGAGCACACAACTGATAATAACATTTGTATGTTCTTATCACAGGGACAGAGAAGAGTCATACAGGAAGTGAACTTTTCTCTGATGATAAAAATGACCTGAAGATCACATTTTGTTAAGTAAGTACCATGGGGTAAAAACTGGCTTCTTTCACCACTCAGTTCAATTTCACTCTTCCATAGTTCAAGAAATGATGGTTATTAAAGTCCCTCTTAAAAGTATAATAATTTTGCCATGGAATGTAATTAAAATGCATGATTCTAAATTAATAGCCCTTCAATGCTGACTTTAGAAGACAAATAATTGAATTCTATTAAAAGATATTATGTATTTAGATAATATTTATCTGACTTTGACATGCCCAGGCAAAAACACAATTATCGTAAAACTTAATGCCACTTGAGATTTGTAGGGACTGGGAAGAATCATTTGCAGTTCAACCTGTGTCAATTTACACTTTTCTCAGTATAATCAATGTATTTTAAAATGTACTATACCATGAATTAAGCTGTATGAAGTCATAAATCTTTTATCATTTACCCCTTTTCCCTCTTGAAAATGCAAGCACTTCCCCTAAACAAGAATCACTTCTACCAGCTGTTAAAGACCACTCTCCAATGTTTCTCACTTGCATGTACATCCATGCACACATATGAACACACACACACACACACATACACACACACACACAAACATATCCCTCCTTTTTCCCTTCCCTTAAGACCCTCCTCTCTCCACTTCTTCCATTCAAATGCTTACAGCCATTTTCTGACAGTGTTGGCTCCATTTCATCTCTTCTAACACATTCGGCAAGTTAGGACATCTGACTTCTACTCACCCATCCCCACTCCACAGACACTCCCTTGCTAAGTTTAATAAGGAAGACAAAACAACAAATACCAAGCACGCTTGTAAGTGTGCTCCGTTCTCTCTCTGGGCAATGGAATCCTTCCTGAAGACTTTAACCACTACCTCCATACAGAGGAGTTGCTAAGTCCACCTCTTTGCCCAAATTATTCTCCTGAGTTGCGTGTCTGCCTGGACACTTGCCATCTCCAGTTATCTCTCTCCAACAGGCTCAGAGTGTCAACGTACCCAACGCAGGCTTATAGTTTCTGCATATCCCTGCCTTTCCTTCCAGCCACCCAGTGTTCCAAGGGTCCCACCATGAGCTTCACGAAATCATAAAGCCTAGGAGTCTCCTACTCTTCCACTCCCAAAGCTAATCCTCACAAAGGCTACAGAGAGCACTTCCTATGCCGGCCTGCAGTCAACTTACGCATCTGCATCGTCCACCATCTCTAAGCCACCATGGCCTCTCATGAGGAATCCAGCCCTTCCTGGCTGGTCTGCTCCTATCCAATCCCCATTCTCTGCAGCTCACTCTCCAAACTGCAGGGAGTGGCCTTCTACAGAGCTGATCTACTAAAAATTCAGTAGGGTTTAAACTTTTACCCTACAAACACAACAGGAATGGGGTCTGGCCCTGTCCCAGGTCCCTGACACCATGATGCTCTCTGCACTGACTGTCTCTAATCACACAGATATACCACCCTCCCTCCTACCACAGGGTCTTTACACATTGTTCCTTCATAAGCCTCAAAAGCAAGCCTCTGCTTATCCCAACCATCCTTCAGATCTCAGCATCACCGCCTCAGGGAAGCTGGCCTAACCCAAGAATGGACCGAATTCCCTTTTATTCATGTTTTAAAACCCCAAATGCCTGCCTTCAGAGCACTTCAATTGGCACCTTGAAATAACTTCCCATGAATAACTTAACACCGTCTTCCTCCACAGCCCGAAATTCATTCACATAAAGATAACTTGTTTCTCCTTCCTTTGAGCTCCACTGCCTGTGTCACACCTGACACACAAGAAAGTCTTCATTATGCCAAATGAGAAAATTCACTAACACGAAAACTGTCATCATAACTAGAGAATCAATCTGAAAATCAGCAAGGCAATTCTCAGCTTACCCATGCATTGTTCAACCAGTAGGGGGAAAACACTATTTAAAAAAAATCGTTCCAGCCACATAAGATCAGAAAGTAGCTCCAAAGATAACTGTTCAGATGCGTCATGCATCAAAATGTTTTCAACCAACAATGTCATCCTGCAGATGAGGTAGGGAATGCCTAGAGAAAGTCTGGTCTCTTCATCCTTACTGATTTTATTTGATCTTGTCCAAATAGCGGAAAAGGGATTTACTTAGGATGTGTATTGATTTTTTCTGGATTTTTTTTTATTATCCTTATGGAGTTGTACAAAGGAGTTGTCATTCAACACGCAATTTATGAATACTGTGCATCTTGATCAGTGTTATTCCTTTCTTTTTTTGGGGGGGGGGGTCCGGTCATGGGGCCTGAACTCTGGGCCTGGGCGCTGTCCCTCAGCTCTTTAGCTCAAGGCTAGCGCTCTACCACTTGAGCCACAGCGCCACTTCCGGCTTTTTTCTTTTTGCTTATGTGGTGCTGAGGAATCGAACCCAGGGCCTCAGGCATGCAAGGCAAGTGCTCTACCACTGAGCCACCTTCCCAGCCCCAGTGTTATTCCTTTCCACATTCTCACCTGCCCCTCCCTTACTTTTCTTCATGTTTAAACTCTATGTATTGGATTTTTTTTGCCATTTAATAAGGCAGCTTATATGATCTGTACCATCCCTTCAACATCTTCACCTTCCTTCCCCCACTCCTTCCCTATTTTTCTTAATTCTGTGATATATATATCACATTGAATTCTTGCCTGCATGCTCTCCCTCCCTCCTTGCAAACACCCATTTCCTGGTACTTATTTTGTTGGGCTTTGGTTTAGTCTTTCTAAACTTATGGATTTTAAATTGGTAACAAAACTTCAGCTCTTTTGCCCTGGACTTAAGCAGAAATTTCAATCTTAAGGAAAGCCAAAGTTGTTGCTATTTAATAATGGAAGAAGGATCCAAAATTTACCTAACACATTCAAGATGATCAAGGTTTCGTGCCCCTGGCTCTTTTGTACACTAGTTCTGGACAAAGATCCTTCATGGTCAAGGACAATAAGTCTGTTGTATCCCAGCAGTCACTCACAGGGAAATGTGACAACTCCAGCCTGAGCCCTCACTAAGGCAGCCAAAGTCCAGATTTTAATATCAGCTTCCTGTTTACTAGTTTCCTGATGCCTTAACAATTCTCAGTAAACTATTCCATTTATATAGATATGACTGTTTGGTAGAATTCATACAGGGACTATTATTTTGTAGCTTTCCCCCATAATTTATGAAATGTCAGTAGCCACGGAAAGTATCAATAGAACTAACCTGGACTAAATGTTAAAAATGCATTTCTCTATAGCTAGTAGTCATTATATTATTAAGGAACTATTAAGCCAAACTTAAGGTATAGGTATTAGTCATTAACCTCAAAGATGCATTTTCCAAAAAGTGAATTTTGAAATACACAAGAGGGCTTTGGGGAATTATATAATCACTTAATCACAATAAAAAAATTTGCAAAACAAAGAGGGTTTACACTGGGACTCAGTGCAGGAGCCCATGTTTATATGTGTGAGGCCCCAGATTCAGTCCCCAATCCAAAAATCAAGGCTAGATAGATAACAGCTGTGAGAATACATAACACTAAGTAGAGGTGTACAGGGGAGGGGGGGGGGGGCATGGGACTTCACCTGTGCGCCCAGGTCATTGTAGAGGACCTTCAGAGAGGTCAGCTGCTCATCCATCCCCTTGGGGTTGTCTGTCTGCTGCTTCTGCACAATGTGTCTTCCGGTTTTGATGACCGTCTCCACTTCCAGCTTGACCTCACTCAAAGTTTTATACAGTTTCTTTGAAAACAAACACAAAACACACACAGATGGATCTTGCCCTGTGATGAAAACCCTTCCAGGTGGTAAGCATTTCCGAACAGAGCTGGCACAGTTTGACAGACACCAAAAAGCTGTACCTTCCTCAAATGTGGCTTGACGTTTGAACCTAATGATATCAAGGCTGTAACACTTTCTCAAACCAGGTAAGAAGTCAAGCTAATGGAGTGTATACTTGCTTGGAGCTCTCACAACTGTAGATGAAATGTTGGTGGAAGTACTTTGTAGTATACTATAAACATTTTTCCAACTAAAATGGGAGAAATATTAGGCCTAAAATTTGAAGGACCATTGTCAACCACTCCTATGCAGATCCTTCTTTGACCTCAGTGTGTGAATGTCTAGATTCCTGTATAATTTATCATGTCCGAATGTGTGTGTGTGTTTAATCATTCAGTGTGCTTACTTGTAGATGTATTGGAATATTCTAGTTACCACAAATGAGGGAAAACATGCAGCCTATGTCTTTGACAAGCTTATTTTAATATAATTTTTTTCAAGTCTTTCCATTTCCTTCTGAAAGGTACAATATCATTCTTTCTGCTGGATGAGTAGAATTCCAGATGTGCATACGATTATATAAAATAATATTTTATGAATTTGAACTCCAAGAAAGGAAACAAGAGACATTTTAGTTGTCATTGTTGCTGCTTTTCTTTTCTTTTCTTTTTGTCTTGTTTGTATTTGGGAGAGCAAGGGGAGGGGCACAGAAAAGGTTTTACAAAGATTGAACAAATACAACAGTGATACCCACCGGATACTCTTTGGAAAATGAATAGGAGATCTTATGGGTGGACATGGGAGGGAAAACAAAGAGGGAGAGGAGAGAGGGGAGACATGGTTCAAAAAGAATTATACTCATTATTCATTACCTATCTGTAACCCCTCTATCAACTCTACAATAACAACAAATAAAAAAATTAAGATTAAAAAAAACTTGAATGGCCATCATGCATAAAATGATACTCTAGGTATAAAAGTAGTTTCACAGTAAAAGACAAAAAAAAAGTATGAAGAATTCATTTCAGACTTCTGCAGTCTAACAAGTGTCATTTGAAGTTTTCCATGATCCTCAAGCATCACACTAAGTCTAGGATCAGATCCCCCCAGATATATTATTTTAAAATTTCTATTCAACTGAATTCCAAATTCAAAGCAGAGATAGTAAAAAGACAGCGTATATCCTTCCCTCCTTTCTCATCTTAAGTTTAAACTTTGATTTAAACTTTTATTTTTGAGCAAAGGAATCTTTTTACACTATTCCTGCAGCCATTCTAAGTATAATTTCTTCTTCTACATGAATCAGAAGTTAAAGTTTTTAACTTGCCTTGTAAAGGAATTGTTTTAATGCAGTAATATGCCTGACGTTCATTCTAAACATTGTCCTGCTACTTTAAATTTATAATTAGAAATTTGGCTTACATTCTGCTGAGCCTCCCTAACTTCATGCTATGATTAAGATGTCTCTTTGTTTTTTCATACATATTGTTTATATATGTTGAGTTTACATCCCTTACTTCAGCAGACTGCAATCAATTACTTTATTTTCTCCTTCCCCAGCCCTCCCTCTCTGGTGCTAGTAATGGGTTTGGGGGTTGGCTAGTACTGGGTGTGTTTTGTTTTGTCAGTCATGGGCTTGAACTCAGGACCTGGGCACTATCCCTGGGTTTTTTCCGCTCAAGGCTAACACTCTACCACTTTCAGCCATAGTACCTCTTCTCATTTTCTGGTGGTTAACTGGACATAAGAATCTCATGGACTTTCCTGTCCATGGCACTGAATCACAATCCTCAGATCTCAGCCTCCTGAGTAGTAGAATTACAAGGGTGAGCCACCAGCACCCACCAGTACTGGATTTTAAGCTCAAGGACTCACAATCTACCATGCCCTTTGTCTTCATGGCGGACATTCTACCACTTAAACCACACCTTCAGTACCTAATTCTGCTGGTTAATTAAGTTTCTTGGATTTTGGGTGCCCAGGATGGCTTTGAACTACCATCCTCCAGGTGCCAGCCCCTTGAGTAGCTAGGATTACAGGCATGAGCCACTGACCACCAGCTCTCACTATCTCTTTTTGCTCTTATACTTTCCTTGGAAAGAAAAGCCCCCATTTCTGATTTCCTAATGTGTTCTCCAACATCAATGCCTGTGTGCAGCAAACTAGTCAAGATCACGTACAGAAAACAAGACAATAAGCCAGAATAACTTTGAGAAAGCTCTCTAGACCCGTGAGTCCCCCAGCAGGCTTACCATACACTTGTCCAGGTGTGTCTGGATGACCTCGGGGTCCACGTCCTTCACCTCAAGGATGTGGAGCTCAGATTTCACACCAGCCAGTACACGCTGACAGTCCAGCATGCGCTGTTCAAAATTTGCAGGCTTTTGGAAGAGCTGAAATTTCGTAGATACTTCTCGAAGTTTCCTCTGTTGGCAGAAATGAAATGAAGAAGCAATTCACCTCAAAATGACAAATCTCTCTCACCAGTGGACATTAACATAACCCTAAATGAAATGAAAGCACCAGAGAATCATTCCAAATGAAGAAGCAAACCTAAAGGAACGCAAGAAGGTTATCCCCATTGTGTAAGTGAAGACCACAGCTCAAAGTCATGAATTATGCAATACTCAAAAGTCTCCAGCTTAGAAATAATGAAGGAAAGCAAGTCTCACCGGAATTTAGGTTTCATTAATTTTCTCGCCTGTTCAAACAGTATAGTGTAGGACCCTAGGATTCAAATGCCCTTCATCCCAAACTTAGAGTGAAAGTCAATGTCATATCAACCATGAAGGAACGATGTAAGCCAGGCACCACTGATTCATGCCTGTAATCCTTGCTACTCCAGAGGCTGAGATCTGAGGATCACAATTCAAAGCCAGCCCAGGAAGCCAGACAAAGCCAGACAGGAAAGTCTGTGAGACTCTCCAATAAGCTACCAAAAAACCCAGAAGTAAAGCTATGGCTCAAGTAGTAGAACACCAGTGTTGAGCAAAATGGCTCAAAGACAGTACTCAGGCCCTGAGTTCAAGTCTCAGGTCGGGCATTTAAAAAGAAGTTTTTTTTATGAAAGAAAAAACAGAACTATGGGAATCTGTATCACTCACAACCACAGCCTACCCAGAGAGCTCATGGACTCTCAGATCTCAGAGACTCTGTATTAACAACAACAGTCAACAGAAAGCTGACTTCTAAATCAAGCTTACTCTCTCCTCTCAGTTCAGTTATAAAAGCAGATGTGCTATTTCTACACCCATGCAACAATTCATTTCTAATGTCCTGGAATGTAATAGACCTTTAATACCTCACATCTGTTCCACAGTCTATATCACACAAAATCTCCCCGTCAGCAACTCTTTTCTCCGCCATATTGAAAAGGCAAGAAAGTGCCTGGTCCTAGTTACCTGCAGCTGCTCCATCTGGCTGCCCCCTCTGCTGGTCCTTCCCTCTGGGAACACAGGGGGCTGGGAACGCAGATTCCTTCTCAGCTCCTCTAGAGTGAGCTCATGGGCAGAGATCTCTGCTTGGATTTTCTACCAAGAGATTAGGACAGAGAGAGGATACGGTTTCTTTAAAAAATATACAAAGAAGTAAATCAGAAATTCCTCATTGTTTCATAACATATCATACTGTATTCTGTAAGGTTTAACAGGCTGACAATAAATATAATAACAGTATGTGCCAGCATACTGCATGACACTGTGTCTAGGTACATATTTGTTTGGGATTTGACGGTTGACTGGTTATTTTTGTGTGTGTGCCAGTACTAGAGCTTGAACTCAGAGCCTGAGCCCTATCACTTAGCTTGTTCATATAAGGGTAGTATTCTACCACTTCAGCCTCAACTCCACTTTCCATTTTTTGCTGGTTAATTGGATATAAAAGTTTCATGGACTTTCTTCTTGGCTGAGCTAGCTTCAAAATCAGGATCCTTGGATCTCAGACTCCTAGGTAGCCAGGATTACAGGCCTGAGTCACAGGTATCTGCATTAGGCACATTTTAAGGTCTGCATGCGTTACTTCAAACACTGGCAACTTATTCCTAAATGAAGAAAATGTCCCCATGTCATAGCTAAGGAAACTGCAATTTTGAAATGTTAGCAATGGTCCAGGTCTCTGATAGGGAACAAAGCAACCAAAATCTAGGCACTGTTCCATGCGTGAGTCAACCATTCTCCCTTACACTAGCAAGAACGGTTCCTTGGCAGCAAGGGTACCTATTTCCTTCTTCACAACTCAAAAGCTCACAAATCCCCAAGTGGTACCTGAGCTTCTTGCGGAACCTGGAAGGCATCAACCCTGTCCGTCAAGTAGTTGGTGAGCTGTTTATCCAGCTCCCCCAGGCTCTCCTGCAGCACCTGAAACATGTCGTCAGTTTCTCGCAGGACCTGCAGTTGCTTTTCCAAAGAAATCTGCTTGCTCTCCGCCTGCAAAGGGACAAATGGTTAGTCAGGAGTTGCTCAACACAACCAATTTTCCAGCCACTAAGAAAAGACTAAAAAAGCACTAGTTCAAGATGTTAGCCTTCCTGATAAATGAATAACTGAACATAAAGGTGAAAATGTCCGACTAGGACATTGTCCCTAGCAATGGACTTACTAATTTATACTTATTTCTATGTATGATGACAAAAATACCAAAATGGAAAGATTTCCTATAGGGCACAAGAAAGAGCATATCAAATTTTGTAATTCTGTAACTCTGCAGTATTTTTAAACATGACCGATACCTATCAATAGAATAAACATCAGAATCTATTTGTTTTTCCAAGTTGAAAATAAGTTTGACCATTAGCACCTATGTGTTTAATCCTATTTGTTGTTTTTTTTTTAAATAAAGCTTGATGTTATTCATGGTCTAAATATTAGTTTTCTGATTTAGCATGAGTTTAATGGTATCTAATATCTATACAGCCTTCCTAACACAACAATATCCTACCATTTCAACAACTGATTTGAATGTACGTCCAAAGATAAAAATCTAGATTCAAACTAAGACCATGGCTTTCATACTAGTTTATGTTTAATTCTGACAGGCCTAATATTTACAAGGGTTATACAAGTAATTACTCTTCTATATCGCGATGAGATTTTTAAGGGAAACTGAAGAGTTCATAACTAGAAATGAGCCTCAAAGCCAATGGGGTTTCTGTGTGTGTTGTGTTCTTGTTATTTGTTTTAAATCATCAAATTCTGTTTATCTCCAAAGTACCAAGTCAATTCTTCCCTTTTTAGCACTGTGAAGACCGCATGCCCCCATTAAAGTTAGTTAACTTAAACCAACTTAAACCACTTATACCGACTTCAAAGTGGTAACTAGCCTCGATCAACTCCAGATGTTACCAACCTGACTCAACACGGAAGCTCAGTATGACTTGAAAGCTTGGGACCAGCTCCAAATCACAAATACCTAGTCACCAAGATGTACTGTACTCATAAACTCATATCTGAAATTGAAACCCCTTTGTACAACTACTTAAACATAATATAAAGTTATGTATATAAAAGACCGGACCAAAAAAAAAAAAAACTAAGATGAGTAACACACCATCACATGCATGCACAGCCCAGTCCTTACCAGGTGGCTTAGCTCTTCATAGCGGCTGTTAAAAGCCTCCAGTTTCTCACTGATTATGTCATCCAGGATTCCACCATCGATCAGAGTCTGTCCGAGTTCCCGAATCTGGGTGCGATTATCTGCTGGGTGGCGTAAAACTGATTCCAGAGACTGGACCAGGGTCAAGGGAAAAAATGTTATGTTTATTAATGCGAAATGCATCACAGATCCAAAATATGCCATTCCTTTTTTTGGGGGAAAGGAGGTAGGTCTTGGGGTTGAACTCTGGGCCTGGGCATTGTCCCTCAGCTCTTCAGCTCAAGGGGAGCACTCTACCACTTGAGTCACAGCACCACTTCAGGTTTTCTGGTGGTTAACTGGAGGTAAGAGTCTCATGGACTTTCCTGCCTGGGCTGGATTTGAACTGCAATCCTCAGATCTCAGACTCCTAGGTAGTTAAGATTACAGGCATAAGCAAGCCACAGGTGCCCGGCTGACTTTCTTAAAATACTTTCTATAAACCTAAGGGATACTACCAGGAAATAAATCAATGTCTAATCCACAAAGTGAATCATATCCTACTAATTAATACATTTATGAAAGTAAAAAATCAGTATGACTGAGAAATTATGATTTCATAAAAGTAGTTCCAACAATTATCAATTATTTGAGAAATTCTGGATAAGACAAAGTTTAAAAGCAGAAACAGCTCCATACAAATAGAATCTGAGGGGCTGGGAAGGTGGCTCAGTGGTAGAGCGCTTGCCTTGCATGCCTGAGGCCCTGGGTTCGATTCCCCAGTACCACACAAGCAAAAAGGAAAAAGCCGGAAGTGGAGCTTTGGCTCAAGTGGTGCTGAAGGTAGATACTCACTTTTCTACATATAACACTGCTCTATGTACACACTTTATTGTTGTTGCTGCTTGTTTTGTTTTAAGGGGACAAAAAGCAATGGAATCCAAGATAACCTCAAGCTCACAGTCCTCCTGCCTCAGCCTCCTGAGTGCTAAATGTATACATTTTATATATACTAACGTATATGCACTAATATATGTTGCATACATATACACATATGTCTGTATATATATACTCATATACATAAACATATTGATACATATGTATTTAATGGAGAGCTATAATATTTAAAAAATTAAGCATATGGATTAATTCATTCCTATTTCGCAGATGGGAAAACTGAGAGAAATAACTCCAACAAGTTAAATTATCTTCCCTTTCTTTAGTCAGTAAAAGGATGAGCTAAGAATCCAAAGACTGCCCAACACTATTATGACTCCACAGCCTGTGACCCAATGGACAGCCTGCCAGTGCACATGCGTAGTAAGAGTAGCAACAATATAACAACAAGCACTTAGGGAGACACATACAAACTGCTTAAAAGTATTTATCTTAGAATATGTCCTATACTCTTCTCTAGCCTCCTTATATTTTATAATGTATTTATATTAATTCATATTAGGAAACTGGGGGGGGGGGGAGGGGCGGGAGTTGTACTAAGCTTCCGCTATTGTTCATGCTCTCGGTTTCTGTGTCTGCTCGGGTGGAGACATGATCACTTTTCCCCAGCATCCTGGCCCTCTCCTGGGATGCCACCACCCCAGCTCACTTACGGCTGACCTTCACTTCCGCCAGCCATTCAGTCCCCACACTGTGTCACTACAATTTAGAAAGCATATCCTCCATGCTCTCTATACAATGGCACTGGAATTCCCGTAAGAAACAGGAAAGAGGGGGAGGGGGGCACGCCTATAATCCTAGCTGCTCAGGAGCCTGAGACCTAAGATTCAAGGTTCAAAGCTAACTTGGTCAGGTAAGTCCCTGAGACTCTTATCTCTAATTAACTGTAAAAGGGAGGAGGGGAGTTGATAGAGTGGTAGCCCTGGGGGGGTGGGGGTGGGAGGAACACAAGGACAGTGCTTGGGCACCGAGTTCATGCCTCAGGATGGGAACAAAAACATAGTAATAATAAAAATAAAGAACCAGTATCAAGCTATCCTATATGGCTGGTGGTAACTAAGCAGCAAGCAAGAACCCCCCATTTCTTGGTCCCCTGGAGCATGAATGTAGCCTGGATTGCAAGCTGTCATCTCTATTTCTATACTCACCAGCCTAAAGTTAGTAACCTTTCACATCCAAATGTAACAGACTAAACGTCATGATGGGCAAGGCGGTGCCATGTGTAAAGGAGACATGAGACAGCCAGGCAGTGGTGCTTATCACCTGTAATCTTGGCTACTCACAAGGCTGAGATCTATGGACCATGGTTCCAAGCCTGCCTGGGCAGGAATGGCTATAAAACTTTTATCTCCAATTAAGCCTACAAAAAAGGTCAGAAGTGGAGCTGTGGCTCAAGTGGTACAGTGCCAACCTTGAGCAAAAAAGCCAAGCAAGAGCATGAGACCCAGAGTTCAAGTCCCAGAACCAGCACAAAAAAAGGGGAAAGAGATAAGAGAGCAGCTTCCTAGTAACATAACCGAGACTGGCAAATCAACTAGACCCCACTGGAGAACTTTCCTGTGCTTAAAAGGCACTGTCCCCTTCTCCCCAAATACACTAAGTCAGCAGGCTGTTAGAAAGCTACTGAGGAAGCAGACGGCCTCATCTTTCCTCATCTTAATACATGTGCCCTCATCATGACAAAAACAAAGGCCACCAGGGCGCAGGCGCCAACCTCCAGGGCTTCGCTGACTGCATCTGTCCTCTCGGGCAGGTCCTCTGTGCTGCGCACGCGCTCTTCCAAAGTGTTCAACCACGTGGTCTCAAGATCCAAATAGTGAAGCAGCTCGATCCAGCAAGACCAGACTTCCTATAGCGTATGCAGGGAAAATTAAAATCAGACAGGAAACCACGTCGAACACAAAGCCTGTGAAACTGCGAATAAGAAGCACTCTCCTACTTGCTGGGTGCTTGTGGCTCACACCTGTAATGCTAGCTATTCAGGAGGCTGAGATCTAGGATCGTGGTTCAAAGCTACTTGAACAGGAAAGTCTGTGCAACTCCTATCTCCAATTAACTACCAAAAAACCAGAAGTGGCACTGTGCCTCAAAGTGGTAGAGTGGTAGACTTGAGCTAAAACAGCTCAGGGGCAGCACTTGGGCCCTGAGTTCAAACACAAGAACCAATACAAAAGGAAAAAAAAAGAAGAAAAATATTTCCTCCCATCAATTATTTTTTTTTTTTTTTGGCAGTCATGGGGCCTGAACTCTGGGCCTGGGCGCTGTCCCTCAGCTCTTCAGCTCAAAGGGAGCACACTACCACTTGAGCCACAACACCACTTCCAGCTTTTTCTGCTTATGTGGTGCTGAGGAATGGAACCTAGGGCCTCAGGCATGCAAGGCAAGCGCTCTACCACTGAGCCACCTTCCCAGCCCCTCATAATTATTTTTATGTTATGTATTTTGCCACCATGGCAAGGACTCACTCACATACACGTACATTTATACCTCCATATTCCACAGGGGAGAAACCTTTCTGATGTATTTCTGAGGAAGAGCTCCCCGCAGAGCCTCTGGCATCTATTCTCTTTCAGATCGACCACCAGAGCACAGGTGGATCCAAACCTGTGCCCCATCTGACCTCTACAGGCCACAACAGGGCTCAGCACATTTTTCTTCAGAAACAGACAAAAATATTTAAAGCCTAATAGTCTACATTTGGGCTGGGTGACAGATTCAGCGGATAAGGGTAGATGGACGAGTGAGTACGTACGTGTGTGTTTGTTTGCCTTCCAGGATTACACAAAACACTCTTCAGTAATGAAACAAAAACAAGACACAACTTAGCTTTGAGTCCTCAGGCATGAAATGCTTACCCTTGGCTTAAGAGTAAAAGAAATAAGAGGTTGCTAGTCCCCCAATTTCAAAACTGCAAAGAGCAGGCTAGGGCATCAGCTCAGATGCAAATCAATTTCCATTTTCTCAAAAAAAGAGATGACAGAATCATTGCCACAGGGCAAAAATATCCCTAACTAAGTACCTTTCTTACTAATCCCAATTATACAAGTTTATCTCAGCACAGCACAGATTCAGAGCAAACAAGCAGTGATTGCCTCTGCCATTCTTAGATCATTTCAGGGTTTAACACCATCTAATCATTCATTGCAGGCTGAAACAAATGGTCATCCACTGATATACTTCTGCTATCACCATAGGACATAACAAAAGTTATATTCTTATGAAGACCACTAAGCAAACACTATCTTATTAAAATAATCTCATTGAACTATCTCTATCTAAAATATAATAGAAGGCAAAAAAAGATTTATTGGAGATCCAATGAAATGGCAGCATACAAGAGTTCTTTCTTTCACATGAGTAACTTTATAGACATTACTCAAAATGCAACACTTCACAGGGATTTCTATGGACTCACTGCAAAGGGAAATAAGGGAATAAAAACACACGTGTGTGAGTTTGCTTTCACATCACTGTGACAAAATACTGGATATAAAAAATATATTGGAGCCAAGAGCCAGTGGCTCACACCTGTAATCCTAGCTACTCAGGAGGCTGAGATCTGAGGATCACGGTTCAAACCCAGCCTGGGCAAAAAAGTCTGTGAGACTATTATCTCCAATAAACCACTCAGAAAACTGGAAGTGGCACTGTGGCTCAAGTGGCAGAGTGCTAGTCGATAGATAGATAGATAGATAGATAGATAGATAGATAGATAGATAGATAGATAGATAGATAGATAGATAGATATAAGAAAAGATTTCTTATTCACAGTCTCAGAGGTTTCGGTGCTGGGGGAAGGGAGTGGTAAAACAAACCAAGAAGCAGAGGCTTGCAGTATGTTCTGCAATATGGGAACCTTGCAGATCATCTGTAAGGAAAGCCTTGGTACACATATACAACAAAGTCTAACATACCCAGTGACTTGCTAATTAACCTCTGACAATTTAAGACAGATCTACATCTCCTTTTTTAAATTAAAACAAGAATCTTTTTTCATTATTATCAATCTATTTTTATTCCCTGAAGGTGTTTTATGAACCCATTTTTGGATTTTAAAGAAAATTAAGGTTTTCCTCAAGACATGTGGGGGGCGGGGTAAGTTCCTACCTCCAGTGTGTGGCATTTTCCTCGAATTCTATTACAAAGAAGCTGGTAATTCTCCAGCACTACGTTCAGCTCAGACGTCAGCTCCTGGCCACCAGAGGGCAGCTTGGCAGCTAATAACTTGATATTGTCCTTGAGAATTCTCACTCTCACCTCCTTCTGCAACACGTCCTCTTTTGCTCTCTGCACCAGGAAAGAGAGAAATTAAAAGATGTTTCTCTGAAACCAGTTTTGTTCTTGAAAAAAAATAGTAACTAAGCCAAAATGAAAACTCTGTAGGACTTGAATTGTCTAACTGGAAGATGAATTAATCACTGCTGGCTTCCTTGCTTATCTGTTTTGAGTCAGGGTCTTATGATACAGCACAGACTGGCCTCAAACCCATGAGGTGAAATCCTCATGTCTGCATCTCCCAAGTGCTGAGATTATACATATGTTCTACCGTGCTTGGCTACTAAAATTTCACTTTTCTATTTTCCAATGTACAGTCTCCACACACATTTTTCATTTAATGACCCCAGTGTTGCCATTCAAGTTATTTAAATGTAGCATACATAGTGTCTAATTTAAATACATGTGAAAATGTGTTTACTTGTATACAATGTTTTCATATCCTGGGTTTCATATTTTAAAAAATAGGTGAATTCATTTCAATGGACATATTAGTCTGGAATGAATGACTCTTCACAAATAATACAGGGGTTCAATAGTTGAGGCACTGTGGTAGATGTCCTTCAAAAGGTCCTACAAATAATTTAAAGACTTTTTCTTCTTAGCACATAGGTGCATCTCTTCTCCTAATAATGTCAGCACTTCAGATAAGATGCTATTACACTGGACCAGTCTGATGCTGAAAGAGCTGCTTCCTGACTCTGTGTGGTACACAACGTGAACACACTCCCATCAGGCAAATCAACCTCAAGCAGATTTGCCTGGCCCTGGGAGCTTTCCCTCCTGCTTAATGGACTTCAGCTTGCTTAGGGTGGGAGAAAGTAATTTAAGTGTAGTTGCTTTTAAATTCCTAATGACTGTTTGGAAAATTAAAAATAAATAGAAAGTTTCCCAGCCAAGGGTGTTAATCTCATTTTTTTTGTGCTCTCAACTATAATGATTTTTAAAGAGAGAGAAAAAGTACAAAATTCGAATGCCCTTGTGTGAGCTGGGTACCAGTGGTTCACGCCTGTAATCCTAGCTATTCAAGAGGCTGAGATCTGAGGATTGGGGTTCAAAGCCCACCTGGGCAGGAAAGTCCATGAGACTCTTATTTCCAATTAACCACCAGAAAGGTAGAAATGGAACTGTGGCTCAAGTGGTAGAGAGCTAGCCTTGAGCAAAAGAAGCTCAGAGGTAGTGCCCAGGCCCTGAGTTCAAGTCCCAGGAATGGCACACACAAAAAAGTACACTGTTGTTTAATCTTATTTAAATAAACAGCCTTTAAGACAGTATCTATCCCCTTTAAGGCTTGAATACTCAAGAACAGTTGAAGCAATGCTGGAGGCTTAGCACAGGAGCCCTTTTACTGTATATAAAAAGGGAGAGGGTTGAAAATTATTGACGCGGGAATGGAAGTTTACAGGAATTCCAGCCCATGAGCACAGCTGACATGTTCACCCGTGCTTCCCCCAACACTCTCCGCTCCCGCTCAGGACAGTCAGGGTTCGCATGAGCCCTGCCTTGGCCGCCTGCAGAAGGCTGGAGACGTCAAGGGACTGGCAAAGTCTCTTCACTTACAGAAGTGATTCTTCATGAAAACAGTAAGCTCTGAGAACATCGCTAAATGGATCCAGGTATAGTGGGGCAGTATCCATGCCAGCTCTTGGGAGGCTGCGGCAGGTCCCCCAAGCTACAGAGAGGGGCGTGGATGTGTGAGGTGATGTAGACACAGGGCTCATTACGAAGTGAGGAAAAGAAGGTCCACGGTAAGTTCAACTGCTTAGCCCAGGCTCACCTTCATTTCATCCACAGCACCCTCCAGCTCTTCCGGCGACTTGTACTCAAAGTCCCGCTCCAGATATTCCTCCTCCGCCTGGCTCATCCACTCCTGCATCTCCGCCAAGTCTTTCTTCAGGTTCACTGCTTTTTCCTGACTTTCACTCAACCTGTTCTTCTGAACAGCAATCTAGAAGGGCAAAGCCATTCCCTCACATACACAAACTGGAACACATACAGTATTAGTCCTTAGGCTTTAGTATTTAAAGACACTGTAATGATGTCCCCACAAAGTGGTGGATGTTTGCATAGTCAGATAAAATTCTTATATACTTGGGGATGATACTGGAGCAATTATCACTCATGAAAATGTCATCAGAGGAATTCTATCCCTCATTTGTGTATAGGAGCCTTATCGGGAAACAACTTTTCATTTTGAAAATGTGTAACTTTGACAGAGTAATTCCAGATATAGAATCTAGAATATAACAATAAGAACATACGCATAATAAATGTGCTGCAACCCTGTTGATTAAGTTTCAAAACCCAGGAAAAGATAAAAAAATTCATCTATTTTCCCTTTTAAACAGGAGTCCAATAAATATTTTACTTTTGAAGAGCAAGGTGGGCAGGAGGGATGACTTTGAAAGTTGTTCATGAGATGCTACGAAATAATGCACTATGCCAGATATGCACACACAAAAACATTGGAAATTAGTGGTGGGGCTGGGAGTGTGGTCTGAGTGGTAGAGTGCTTGCCTCCCATGCATGAAGCCCTTGGTTCAATTCCTCAGTACCACATACACAAAAAAAGCCAGAAGTGGCGCTGTGGCTCAAAGTAATAGAGTGCTAACCTTGAGCTAAAGAAGCTCAGGGACAGTGCCTAGGCCCTGATTTCAAGCCCCAGGACTGGCAAAAACAACATAACATGGTAATATATTAGGCATTTCTGAACCTGGGTCAACAGCTGCTTCAGAGAAATCTGGAAATAGTTTCAACTTCTCACCCAAACCACAAACCAACTTCCACTGTGAGAAGACACAGTAGCACAGGATGGTCCAATCCTCCCTTGCCAGAGTCAACCTCCTGCTCAGATGAAAGAGGATGTGGTAGCCACCTGGCCAGGCTGGCATGGCTATAGAGCTGATGGAGACCAACGTCCAGAAGAGGAACAGGAGTAAGGGTGAAGGAACAGCAGTTCTCCTGTCTCCTCTCTCCAACCCAACTACGGTCCCAAAAATGAACATGGAACTATCCTCTGCCATATGTTGATGTTTTTCTTTTAAGTAAAATGTCAACATCTTTACCAGTCAATGAAACACGACCTTCTGGAACTAATCTAAATCATCATTCACACAACATGCAATGTGACGCAACATGCAACATGTGTCTGTCTTCTTACTAAGTACACTTTGTTTCTTCCCATACAGTTAGTCCCATACTTTGAGTCCAAAGTGATTCTCAATGAATTCTATGTTGTCAGAGGTGTCTGAGTTGGTAGATAGGGATTCATGCATGGATGGATGGACAGATATAGCAGAGAGATAGACAAAAGGCAGTTTTGCCTTAGTCTTCATGCCACTTCCAAATAATATTCTCTATTTACTTCTTTAGAAACCAGACACTTCAAGCACATGCCAAGAGATTATAGAACACATGCAGCAATACAAATTTGGCTAGAATATGAGATGATAATAGCAAAAAGGTAATTTCTGAAGTTGGATAATGGCATGGTGGTTTTGTAGAGACCATCCTTATTCTTGAAAAAAACATACTATAATATTTCGGGGTAACATCGTGATGTGTGCAACTTCCTGCCCAAAGAACATTTTCAAAACTGAGAAAAATAACTAAGTAAAAGAAACAGTAAAGGCTGGGAAGGTGGCTCAGTGGTAAAGTGCTTGCCTTGCATGCCAGAGGCCCTGGGTTCGATTCCTCAGCACCACATAAGCAAAAAGAAAAAAAAAAAAAGAAACAGTAAATGTGATAAAACAGTCACAACCTGAAAACTCTCAGAATGTATCTATGGGGGTTCCCTGAAACCAATACTTCAGTTCCTCTTCACATCTGAGCATGTCCAAAATAGTGAAATTGGAATATAACAACAAAACCAAAGGAAAATATTAAATGATGCAAAGATAAATCTTTTGTGTGTAAACATGAGCTAACAAGTGCTGTATTAAGACATGAACTATTTACAATGTGGCCTATGGAGACTGCATGCATTCTACTATTTTTTCTCTATTTTTCAACCCTATGTGGCTCACTCAGCTACACAGAACCCTCACTATCATTTCACTAAAGCAACTGAAGCCACACCCGATTCCCAGTATCAATACAGTGCTTTTCCCTCTAGTATGTTCTAGTACTTTCTAGCACTTTCTACTACGTTCTAACTCAGTATTTTCTAACTGTGGTTGCTTTCTTCAGTATTAAAAATCCAGTAATAGCTCTCCTTGTTTAAACTAACAACAACAACAAAAAAAATCTGTTTGGATTCTCCATCTCCAGCACCTACATCAGTCTTCTGCTACCTGGGAATGAGAAACGTCTCACAGTTACTTGCCACTTCCCCTCAACATTCCCTAATACCCCTCCCTTCCTCACCACACCAGGAATCCATTTTCCTCCAGGTCATTAAAAGCTTTCTGTTTTGAAGGCATCAGCAATCCTCACCACGGAGCACTGCCTTTGGGGCTTCACACCGCCCTGACCTTTCTTTCTTAGCATCCTTTAATTCCCAGGTCCTTAAACACTAAAAATTTTTAAAAAAAACACCACTTGCTTGCCTAAAAGTTTCTCACACATAGCTCTGGCCCAATGGAAAACATCATTTCCCCTGTGCCTCAGTCTCCGTCATTCCAGTGAAAGCACCACGGTTCATGCACAATAGAAGCTTACAAGGCGACTCAGCTGCCCCGACCATTCTTTTTTTTTTTTCTTCCATCACAGATTGGACCACTGTACATGAATGCTATTCCTATTTTCAAGGTACAATCTAACCCAGTATTTCTCCTGACCTCCAGCACAACTTTCCAGTCCAAAAAGCTATCTCTCTCTCTCTTCTGGAGACTATAATCACCCATGACTATTGTCCATCCTTTCATTTTGGCCTTCCCAAAGCAAACTGCCCAGACACCTTAACAGATCTATCAAATGCCACTATCAAATCTCTGCACAAAACTTCCAACTTGCCTGTCATCACACTTGAAAGAAAATTCAAAGTTTTATCTCCAAGGATACAATGTGTAAGCCATTTTTAGTCTACCTTCAAATATTCCCATTTTCCAGCCTGCTGACTTCTCTAACTGTATCCCAGCTACACTACCCTTGTTCTTTATGGTAAACAAGTTTATAAGCCCCCACCACACACACACACACACACACACACACACACACACCAGGCTTTAAAATGTGATTCCCCATGCCTAAATTGTTCTCACTTGAACTCCACTTATTTTGCTCAGTTCTCTATTCTGAAACTGAGATAATCTCAGTTTACCTGAAATAATCCACCTAAACATAACACTTGGCTATTCCACCTGATAGCATTCATTATTCATCTGCCTGACTAGAACACAAGCCCTCTTAAGAGGAAGAATTCTCCCTGTCCATTGCTTTTCTCCAATGCCTAATGATGTATGACAGTGGGTGCCAATTAAAACATAGGACTCATCAACTGATTAGTAAGTATGTGCTGGATAAATCATTAATGTACTAGATAACATACACAAGTGTACTAAGAGGCCCGGCAAGTGTTCTGAGTGTATAAGTTACATTGAAAGCAAAAGGAAAGGATAAGTTCTGGGACAAATTAAACAAATAGTACTTATACTTGATTTTTAAAAAACCATAGGTTCTTGCTCCAACTTTCTACACATGCCATGGTTATCCAACTAGAAGATCATAAAAATCAGTTTTGTTGGTGAAGAGACACCAGAGTCTCCATACCTGGAGAGCACAGATGATTACTTTGATGCACTTACCTCCTTGCTAAATTTCTCCAGTTGGGTTTGGCAGTCAACTAGTCTTGTCTGCACCCAAGTTTTGATTCCAGAAATTGGACAGCTTCGAAGGTTAGTCTCTATTTCTTTCATGTTTTTCAGAGACAATTCAATTGTTTCTATTTCATTGGCAAAGGCCTGAAAACATAAAATGAGCCAGGCTAAGTTTATTCCTATGTAAGTGAATGACATAATTATAGTATAACTGCCTGGATCCCTGCAAATATTATCAGAACAGGCTGCTTGGAGTCACAACTTCCAACTACTTAAGAAAAGCTGTGTCTTAAATTCACTTCACCTGGGTACTTCATATAGCCATCTTCTAAATTAGACTGGAAATACTTGACTCTCAGTGGGGAACAGTGCTTTTAATTAACTTCGAGAAGCCTGATGATTTCCCAAAGCATAAATTGCATGCAGTATTACTGGCAAATTTCATTTGTTAAGTATGTTTTTCCTAAAGCCTCACCATGTGGTATAAGCAATACACCATTGGTAAGCATTAGGCTAAGATGGCATTATAATACAAAACAGCAGCACCTAAGAAACTAAAATAAGTCTTGTTCTCATGTCATCAATTCTATAACAAGGCAAAAGATAAAAATATGAACATCTGCCATTCTTTTATTAGCTATAAAGCTACAATGGTTTTATGATAAAAGATATTTTATCTAGGGTTCAAGACCATGTCACATTCTACCCATTTCAATAATAGCAAATAATAAAGAAAATGTGATTTGTTCCATCAGGCTGACTGGAAGAGAACTCACAGCACACTGGCCAAGCTCCCGCTGGAGACCAGCAACATCCCCTTGGGCAGCCTGCTCTTTCATTAAGAAGTCTTTCACTCCTTCTGTCCACTTCTCGATGACTTCTGAATCAGCCTGTAACAAACACAATAGCAGAGGGGGATATTACTCCCTGACATTTAACCCACGTTTCTCCATCCCTGGCTACAAAAGAAAAAAAAAACAACTTTGCAAACTCTGATAGCATCATTCTCATTTACTTTATTTCTCTTTTTAAGCCCCTGAACTTGGAAAAGAATGACTTTCATCATATTGGATGAAAATTCTCCAAAGATGATGAACAAGCTTTGTGGGCATTGTCTAAAACTTAAAACACTTCAGTGAACTGTGATTTTTTTTTCACTTAAATTGCAATGTTGATGACTGAAAATTCAGAGCAGATGGGGGGGAATGCTTTTCTGAGTATAATCAGATTTTGAGAAAAAAGAAAAACCTTTTGCCCTTTTAATAATGTAAAATAAGTTTGCTCTTTCAGTTGGCTACTGGAAACAGGAAAATAAATAACATAGGAAATGTTATTTAAATGAAGGAAATATATAGGTTGTTTTTAGTCCTGACCCTGAGTACTATTTTTTTCAATTCATTTATTGTTATTGTAAAGATGATATACAGAGCAGTTACAATTACGTAAGTCAGATAAAGAGTACATTCCTTTCTGAACAATGTCACTGCCTCCCTCCCTCTCTCCCAGGTTTTCCTTCCCATCCCCAACCACAAGTTGCATAGTTCCTTTTCAACATAGTGTCCAGTGACTGCCACTGCTGCATTTGTTCACCCTTTGTCCCTCCATTTCTATGACCCCCCCCTTACCCAAAGAAAGACAAATGAAGAGACAAAGAAAAAAGGGGAAAAAACTCCTTGTTTTCATTTCCTGGAATTCATTTTGAGAAATATTATATATTACATGATCAGATGCACACAGCTATTTTTTTCATCTGAAAACCCAAAATCATACACTACATAGTTGTATTTTTTTTCACCCAATATTTACCAGCACCTACTCTATGTGTGTAACCCTGGGGTCCAATGACAAATGAGAAAGCAAATATTTTGCAGGGGGAAAAAAGAGAGAGAAACTTCAGAGATGTGGTCATATAAAAATGATGACTTAAAGAATGCTAAAATAAACCAAATTTCAGCCCAACACTGTGGGAGAATCATTTCTTTCTAAGCCTTCCCACTCAAGCATTGTTTATCCTGTCTGTTAACCTCCCTTGCATGTTCTTAATTTCTTGTTCACTTCTAAAACTGGAAACAAGCTTACTATCATTTTCCAAAAAGTCTCGCCATATTTGTACGTAGCTGCCATGTCTTTCTCTGCTGCCTCTAACGGTTCAATGTTCCCAGTTCCTTGCCTGGCCTCTCCAGGACATGACAGCCAAGCATCTATCACAACCACTGCCCGGAATAAAATGTGCCCTGCAAACCACATCAATTGCTTCATACCACACAGAACCAACCAAACGTTCTTATCATCACATTGCATCTGTAATGGTGTCTATTTTTATTCTTCTTGTATGGTTGTTTTAAGCTTGTTTTTTGTTTGTTCATACAGTCACCAGTCACCATATTATAGCTTGTTGCAACTCCAATACCTCCATTAACTACCTCAAAATATACTTTTCCTCACACAACTTAATGGGCTGCTATCATAAATTCAGAGCTTGATGATTATGAATATTAAACTTGGCCTTGGTATGTTGACAAAGCAGTTAAAAGTAGACCAACCACAAAGCCAACAAAATAATTAGAAATTCTAGCCTCTGTACTTTCCTATCAGCTACTCCTGCTAACTTTTTCTTCCTTACAAAACTGGTAGGGAAACACATTTTGTTTTTCTATTGGCTATGTGGGGTGTTTTGTTGTGGTCCAGAGTTAAAATTTTTCCAAGTGAAAACTTAATTCAATAATAGTGCTTGCTTGAGTGTTTCACCCACAAAAGATGGCTTACATTTCATGATCTAAGAAGAGCCTACATATACTACATATACTAAAATCTAATTCATTTTCTGCTTTCTTCTTCTTCTTCTTCTTCTTTGGTCAGTCATGGCTTGAACTACTGGACATGGGTGCTGTTCTGGGCTCTTCAGCTCAAGGCAAGCACTCTACCATTTGAGCTACAGCACCACTTCAGGTTTTCTGGTGGTTAATTGGAGATAAAAGTCTCTCAGACTTTCCTGCCCAGGCTGGCTTTGAACCGTGATCCTCAGATCTCAGCCTCCTGAGTAGCTAGGATTATAAGCATAAACCGATGCCTGGCCTGCCTTCTTCTTATAATGTTGTATGAAAATACCCTGAATACTTTGGTGGAAACAAGACCTGCCAAGAATGATATGGACATTATTGAACTACGTAAGTGTGCATGCTCTTTCAACAATGACATCATGTCACTCAGGGTATATAACAATCTAGCATTCAGGAAGGAAGGAAGGAAGGGAGGAAGGGAAAGGAGGAGGGGGAAGAGGAAAGGGAGGAGAAGGAAAAGGAGGAGAGAGTGAAGGAGGGAGAGGGAGAGCAGGCAGAAGAACAGGAGAGGAAGGGAGGAAGAAGAAGAAATGAACTATTATAAAACTGGGAAATTCATTAAATCTAGTTGTGAATAAGGAAAACTGATCGTTTCACTACATAAAGATTTTTATAAGATTTTCCATTCTATTCCAAGAAAGATTTTCAATCATAATCAGCTTTGACTAATGTAAGCAAATGGATCTGCCCCTGGATGGCAAGTAAGAGGAAGTTTTATGGTGTCAGTCGCCTTCCTTCCTCCCTCCTCCTGCCTAGACACGCAAGTCTTCCGGGGGCAGAGACAAGGCACCCGCAGCCGTCCCTTGCTGCCTCTTGCACTTTACCCTGAGGGAAAAAAAAGGAAGAGGAAAGAAAAGAACAAACCCAGATGAGTCACACAGAACCAATTTTCTGTCCCAACAGGGACAAAAGCAACTCAAGGGAATCTGAAAAGCCAAATTATCTTCTCCACTGCAAATGCTGCTTACGCCTAAAAGAGGCAGTTGTGACCAAACGAAAGAATGGGAGCTGAAGGTCAAGTTGAGCACCTGACTAGCAGTGGGGTTTTGAGACACTCATTCCTTCTGTCTTTTGGAGCCTCGGCTTACTCTTCTATTAAAGAGGAATATTAATTAATACCAGTCTTATTCGGTTGTACTGTCACCATGTTTAGACAGAGACTCCCAAACAGGAACATTCAATAAATGAAAATATCTACAAACCAACTGATCTATTATTGCCAAGATGCGCTTTATTAAAAAAAAAAAATACCTCCAGGTTTTAGAGTTTAGGCCACATCAGAGACAAGATGAGGATATGTTTCCATAAGATCAGAACCATTTTGATTGTTCTGATACTAGAGCTTCAAATCAAGGCTTCACATTTGGACTGATTGGTTGATCACAGATGGCGCTCTACCACTTGAGTCATGCCTCCAGTCAAACTTTTTGTGGTTAACTGGAGATGGAGTCTCTCAGACTGTCCTGTCTAGATTGGCTTTGAACAGAGATCCTCTAGGGTTCAGCCTCCACTGACACTTGGCTAGGCCATTAAAAAAATTTTTTACACTGTATGAACCATTGATGCTGTTTCGTCAAATGATTATTTTAAAGTAACCATTACAGAGCTGGGAAGGTGATGCAATGGTAGTGTTTGCCTTTGTCTCACATGCATGGGGCCCTGGTTTCAATTCCTCAGTACCACTCAAGCAGAAAAAGCTGGAAGTGGCGCTATGGTTCAAGTGGTAGAGCGCTAGCCTTGAGGTGAAGAGCTAAGGGACAGTGCCCAGGCCCAGAGTTCAGGCCCCACAACCAACAAATAATAAATAAATAAACTATTACAAAATGACCATTTTGAAAGAACTGCTGCTGATATATCTGGTCAAATACAGCTCAGCTCAGATCAGCAGAAGGAAGACAAACAGAGAAATGCCTAATAGCACAAACCAACTGGACCCCACTCTGTGGCCACACCATGGGGCTAGAGAAAAGTCACTCAAATCAAGACCAGCCACCACCTGTGAGCAGGAAACAACCAGAGACCCAGGACTCTGCGCCGCACTTCACTCCCCCCCAGAAAGGCCTCTGTCCCTCGAAGGGAAATATTCTGCATCCACCTTAGCAGATGCTCCCAGCACTTTCCAAAAGGCTGCTCACCCTGAAGCCAACTCTTCATCAAAGAGGTGACAAAGGATGTAAAAGAATTCATGCAAAAATTGCTTATCTATATAAAAATCATTCAGGAAATACACTTAGGAGTTTCTAATCTACAATGAGTAATCTTTTTCTTTTTTGCCATGCACTTACTGAATACCCGCACACACATGCACATACAAACAAACATACTTACACATATATCTACACAAACAGGCACATACTTCTTTGTGGGATATCTCAGTTTAACAAGCAATGCAAGCTGGGTGCTGGTAGCTCACGCCTGTCATCCTAGCTACTCAGGAGGCTGAGATCTGAGGATCATGGTTTGTTCAAAGCCAGCCTGAGCAAGAAAGTCTGTGAGACTCTTATCTCCAATTAACCACCAGAAAACCTGAAGTGAGGCTGTGGCTCAAGTGTAAGAGTACTACTCACCTTGAGCTGGAATGCTCAGGAATAGTGCCCAGGTCCAGAGTTCAAGCCCCCCAAACGACCAAAAAAAAAAAAAAAAAAAGTAATACAAGCCAGGAGCTGGTAGCTAATATGACCAGCTACTTAGGAAGCTGAGATCTGAGGATCACAGTTTGAAGCCTCCCTCGGCAGTAAAGTCCATGTGATTCTTATCTCCAATTAACCACTAAAAAGCCTTCAGAAGTGAAGCTGTAGCTCAAGTTGTAGAGCGCTAGCCTTGAGCAAAAAATACATAAATAAACAAACTCAGGAATAGCACACAGGACCTGAACTCAAGACCCAGGAACAGCAATATGAAAGAATTACTAGTAAATTACTAGTACAATTAAACTATAAGTAGTCTAGGATAGGGTAGACATTTTTCAGTCATCTTTTTACTTAAATAAAGATAAAATTACTATCAGTAATTAGAAATCAACTTATCAAATACTCTAACCTGGAAGGCCAAAATTCTACAATGACCGGCCCTGCTTCAAAGCAAGATTTAGAATCTAGATCCCAGAGAAGGAATGTGACATGGATAAAATGAGTCCTTTAACCTTAGCTCGCCTCCTTGCCTGAGCTCCGAATGGAGAAACTGTAAAACCTGGTAACTCTGGACTTTAAGACTGAGATTCCAAGAGACACAACTGCCTCTGAGACTTGATTACAGCTAAATTCTTAGCATTTTATCTTCCTTCTCCCCCATCTGTTGGAATGTCGACAGCTTTTAAGCTACTGATTTCTGCCTCAAGCCACAGACACAAAACGCTGTAGAGGCAGAATTAATATAATAGTTTAAGCTAGTAGGATTCTGCTTTTGTTTGGCTTTATGAACCTCAAAAACACTATGTGGGAGAAAAGTGTTCTGTCACAGAGAAATGAGAACAAGGCATAGCACTGACACATACATGAGTTTATCTAAAACTAGCCATCACAAAGCCCCCGCAGCCTCTTCCCCTGTGATCAGCCACTGCAACTGTCCATTGGTTTCTGGGTCTAGACTTCCCTTCAAATTCAGTGGGGGGCACGCACTGAACATCATGGGACTCTCCCCATGCTAGCCTGAGTGCTCTTCTGGTACTACAGGTTTTCTGACTATCATTGTAAAACCATAAAATTTTCATAAATTTCATCTCTACTTTGTGATTTTCCTAGCAATATCCCAAACCCAAATTCTCTTAGAATTTGAGTTAATCAATCTATTTAAATCTATGACTAATCTAATGTTACCTACTGAGAAATAGTTAATGTTTTCTCTTGCCGGATACTGCTCTAGAAGTATATGTTGAAGTAAACCAGGCTAAAAAAAGATGAATCCCCAGCTAAAAGGAAAAAAAAACAAGGACCATGGTCCAGAAGCACTGAGAGAATTGGAGCCTGGGGACGGAGTAGACCGGCTCCACATCCATGCTACCCTTTGAGAAAACCAGAGACAGAGCTGGACTTAAAAATCCTGTCTTGGGCTCAGAATGCAGCTTAGTGGTAGGGTGCTTGCCAAGCATGCATGAAGCCCTGGGTTTGATTCCTCAGTACCACCTATTCAGAAAAAGCCAGAAATGGTGCTGTGGCTTCAAGTGGTAGAGTGCTAGCCTTGAGCAAAAGAAGCTCAGGACAGTGCCCAGACCCTGAGTTCAAGCCCCAGGACTGGAGGAAAAAAAAATCCTGTCATATCTGACCGTAACTTTCTCCACCTCCTCCTTACACATCCTCACATTTACCACGACCCTCCCCTGGCCCTCACCTTGACCAACTAGCTTCTGCATGGCTATATGCCTTGAATTATTTGGCTTTTTAGTCTGTCACTAGCCTCATTCAGATTGTTAACTCCAAATATCAAGGACCATTAAAAACCATATCCAAGGACTTCACTATTTGCCACTAACCAGGCAACTTGTAACAACCACAATGTGACTCACACTGCAATCTAATAACCAATCTGTATTTCACATAGACAGCCTCCTATGCTGAAGTTCTATTTTAACTCTGTTTTCCATATCACCAGTCCAGCTCGCTTCTACCAACAAGTCCTCTCTATGAGGTAAAAAGAAATACATGTGCTCACCTGCTCATTCACAGTATGTTGCAGGGCAAGTTATAATCCCAACTTAAGCACATAAATAATGTGGGACTAGAAAGAATGCAAAATACTTAAATTGTAGATATGTGAATCCTGCGTGAAAATTACCATCTACCCTGTAATAAAGGCAAACTCCTGGTATCCTGGCATCCCCAGGATTTACCTCAAAAGCTCTGAGTTTCGAGGCAGTTTCTTCAAGCAAATGTAGATCTTTGGAAACCTTGGTCTTGAGTTTGTTCCATTTTCCTCGGGCATCGTCGAGTTCTTTCTTATATGTCTTTTCTACATCAGGAAGCACATTTTTCTCTAATGCCTTTGTGTCTTCTGTAAGTTTATATAACATAGGTTTCTGATTCTCAAGGATTTCATCAAGGGCCTAGGAAAAGATTCCAACAATTAAAAATGTGTACAATAATGTGTCTATACAGATGTAATCATATGGGCTGTACACAGTGGAAAAAAAACAAAACAGGAGGGCACTGTATCAAGAAGTATTATAAAGCAATAAGCATAATCAAAAAAATTAAAGCTTTCCCTTCATGAGTTATGTGTGGGCCATGTAATATATTCTCCCCACATAAACGGCTGAACCACATACCCCGTGTGGGCCCAGAGGGCTATGTCAAGAGTTGGTCTTTGTTAACTCATGAAATACTTCAAAATCTTAAGGGCACTCAACTAAAGGACCAAGGAACCATCCTGATTCAACACAATTTTTTTCAAAATATCATTTCAACTATTCCCCATTTTATAAGAAGTATTTGAGCACACTATGAATCAGTTAAGAATTTTATGCTAATAAGAAATATGTACTTCTATTAAAACTTAGTAACTATTCCTTTAACTAAGATCCTACATTACAGAAATTATAAGTAACCAATACAAGAGAGGTGTGGAGGCATGGACCTATAATACCAGACACTGAAGAAGCAGAGGCAAGATGAATAAAAGTTTGAAGTGAGCCTGGGCAAAATTAGTATTTCAGAAACAAAATACAAACAAAAGGGCTGGGATCCAAGCTCAAATGGTAGAGCACTTGCCCAGCAGGCTGAAGTCTCTAGATTAAATAATCCAGTTCCAAAAGAAAAGGAACACAATTTCTGAACCACAAATGGCGTCCCTCATTAAAAAAAGAAAATCACCGAAAAATATTATCATACGATCAACAATCATATATAAAATAATATTTATCAAAGTGAACTCCAGGAAAAAGGGATTGTTTCTTTGTTGCTGTTTTTCTTTTCTTTTTGCCTTCCCTGTTCATTTATCTGTCTTTGCGAAAATAAACGGGGGACACAGAAATGGAGGGACAAAGGGTGAACAAATGTAGCAGTGGTACTCAGTAGACACTCCGTTGAAAATGAACTACATGATTTGTAGATAGGGGACGGGAGGGAAAAACTGGAAGAGAATGAGGGAAGTGGGGACACTGTCCAAAAACAAATGTACTCTTTATCTGATGTATATAGTTATAATCCCTTTAAACATCACCTTTATAATAAAACAATAAAAATAGACATTTTTAGATAAATAAATAAATCTGAAATGGCCAGGTGCTTGTGGTTCTAGCCACTTAGGAAGCTGAGATCTGAGGATCGAGGTTCCAAGGCAGCCCAGGTCGGAAAGTCTATCTCCAATAAACTACTCATAAAAAGCGGAAAGTGGCATTGTGGCCTCAGGCACAGAAATGGAGGGACAAAGGGTGAGCAAATGCAGCAGCTCAGGCACAGCACCCAGACTCTGAGTTCAAACCCCAGGACCAGCACTCAATAAATAAATTAAAAAACAAACAAGTAAATAAATCTGAAATGGCAGGATGGCCCAGACCTCTAGCAGAGAGATTACCTTTTTTCCTTGGAGGGCCTCCTCCAGCTTTGTAAGATCATTAAGGACAGTCAGCGATGTCTGGGCTTTGTTTTCTAAGTCATCCAGCATGTCTTTCAGCGTTTCCAATGTTTCCAAATACGCATGTCCAGGTTGGCTCTTCAGGTCTGTTTATTTAACAAATGATAACTTGAGAAAATAATGTCAGGGTCTTAATATTATCGGGACTACTATTAATCTTCTGCATTTAATAACTGAATCCCAATACATAGTAAGTTAGGGGAAAAAAAACCCACCCTGATTAAGATGAAAAAGAATCTCTGTTAGTTAATTAAATAGGTCATTCCTCTGGCATCTCTGAGACAGACGGTGACTTCATTCCTGCGGATGTTGATGTTTGAAATATTAACTAACTCACTATCGTTCTTCTTCATTGTATCACAATGACATGTCTCTCTGAAGCCAGAGCAACAATGTTCCTTTTGTGCCACATAACCTCCTCTTCCCCCATTGCCGCACAAAGAATAAAGGAAAAGCAAGATACCTTCATCCACCCCCTCCCCGCACCCCTCCCCCAGCCCCGCAGTCCAGGCGGACCACCCCAGCCACAGTGGTAAGCGTCTGCAAGGGAGCCGTGCAGCATGTCTGTCCCACACATCACCTGAGAGGCAACGACAGCAGCAGCTACAGCAGTGTCTATTTCTGCCTCCAGTGTAAAAATCACACACTTCCAAGCACATGTGCAGAAAGGAAGCGGGTTGTATTTGAAGGACAAGAGGTGAAACAACCATCAGCCTCCATTCCCCCCTGCTGACCCTGTTCAAACACTAAAGCAGTAAGTTGAAAAGCCACATGGCACATTTGCCTACCAGGCACACAGATACTTTTTTTTTTTTAACTTTTTTTTTTTTTAAACCAGTCCCGGGGCTTAAACTCAGGGCCTGGGCACTGTCCCTGAGCTTCTTTTTGCCTAAGGGTAGCAATCTACTACTTGAGCCACTTCCAGCTTTTCCTGCTTATGTGGTGCTGAGGAATCGAACCCAGGGCCTCATGCATGCAAGGCAAGCACTCTACCACTAAGCCACAGTCCCAGCCCCACACAGACATTTCTTAATATCCTTACATCACATAATCTATGAACCACAGCACAGCAATGAAGGATAACCTGCCACTAATAATACAGACTACAGCACAAGCTCCACCTGCAACAGTGACTAAAGAGAAAATAATAATAATAATGTAACCTAAGGACTGAGTTTCCCATACCTTTAAGAGTTAACTATACAAAACCAGATGTATTCCAAAAGTAAGCACTCATTTAACCTTTTCAGAGTCTGGAAGAGTAACCTAATTCCTTTTCTTTTCTTTTTTTTTTTTTAAAGGGGATGATACTGCTAAAACTTCAATTAACCTTTCCAAGATAAAAGATATAAGGAGCATTCTCTTGTTATGCCAGAAATAACCAAAAGCAGAAATAACAACTGTTTCTCATTTTTTTTCCTTAAGAACTGAAGTTCAAAGATAGAGTACTTGCCTTGAAGACATGAGGCCCTGAGTTTCATTCCCAGCACCACAAATAAAAAGCAACAACAAACAACAAGAACAAATAAATCTACAAGTAAACACACTAGATATCTCGTCATTCACACACAGTGAGACCAAAGGAGGCTATTGTTAAGGGAGGAACACATAGGCACAATGTGAGCCCAATCATATAAACTAATACTTATTGAAATGAACTCCAGGAAATAGAAACAAGAGGTTTTTTCCTTCTCTGTTGCTGTTTTTGTATTCTTTTCTTTTTGTCTTTCTGTTCTTTTATCTGTCTTTGGTAAGGGGGAGCACAAAAACGGTTGAAACAAAAGGTGAACAAGTGCAACAGTGATACTCACTAGACACGGTGTGGAAAATGAACTATACAACTTGTGGGTTGGGACGGGAGAGAAAAACAGAGAGAGCAAGAACGGGGTGACACTGCTCATATTGTACTCTTTACCTGTAGTCTTTACCCTGGGTACCATATTACCTTTACAATAATAAAAACGATTGTTAGATCCTATTGACACACGCTCATAGCTTGTGAAAGCAGCTCAGAATTTGACAGTGCAAAGCCAGGAGCTACTTGGACTCTAAGACCCTGGAGTAGGCAGGCACAATGAAACACCGCTCAGAAAAACATAGGCCTGGTGTAGCAGGAACAAAACACATGTCTACGAAGGCTCTAAATATTAGGGTGATTTTTAGACTTAGGTAAACTGAGAGAAGATATGCTAGAATCATTGAGAAAGAAAACCAACAGGATGGACTCACCACGCTCTAGCTGCTGGTGACAATCCTCCATCTCCTTCTGCACAGCTTGGTAGTGCCTTAAGAAGCCATCGAAGGCCTGCTGGACAAAATCCGGGACAGAAGGCTGAGACATCAGAGCTGAGCAGCTTGCACGCGCGGTTTCCATCGTGGGGTGGAGGCTCAGGAGGTCTGTCAATTCCCTCTGGGGAAGAGAAAATTCAGTCATGTAACTCCGCAAAGATGAGCCTCTCTCAGATGCGAGTCAGAATTGACTTATAGGTCATGATATAAGAAGTGCCCTCTCTGTATGTATCCAAGACTCGGTTCAGAGCACTTGCACCGTCCAGGTGGTTGTCTGTTTACCTGGTAGGAATCCTTCAAAAGTGGCAAGGACTGGTGGGGAGATCCAGAAGAGAAAGTGAGCTGTAACCACTCCTCCTTCATCTTGAGGACCTTCTCAAGCTCGTCGAGCTGCTGGAAGTAAGTGTTGATATCCTCCTGAAGGCGAATCTTCCTAGCAAGATCATCCAGACGCTGAGACGTGTGCTTCCACCCTGAGGAAACCTTCTCCAGGATGCTTTTTATCTCTTCAGTAGAAAGGCCTTCTACGCAGACAAAACATAACATAAAATAAGCAGATACTTCATATGGTATCACTTGTTTTGAATGTCTTCTAAATGCTCTAACATAAGCAAAAAATAAAAAAGAGACAATGTAAGCCAGGCATTGGTGGTTCATGCCTGTAATCTTAAATACTTGGGAGGCTAAGAGGAGGAGGATCAGAGTTCAAGGATAGCCCAAGCAGGAAACTCTACCAGGCCCTCAGTCAATCCGTAGGTGGATCCAGAGGTATGTGCCCATCATCCTAAGATTCACAGGAGGCTAAGATTGGAAGGAATACGGTACCAGAAGAACCTAGGAAGCAAGACCCTATCCCAAATATAACCAGCGAAAAACAGGGCTGGAGAGCACAAGACCCTGAGTTTAAACCCACAGTAATGCATGTGTGTGCGCATGCACGTGCACACACACACCAATGTCATATGCTGATCACTCCATTAATTCCCTTTTAACAACAACAACAAAAACACTGTATTGATACACTTACAAAACCATTTGCCTGTGTTTATTTCTTGACCTAAGTGGGGCAAGGTTTGAAACTATGGTTAAGGAATGGCATGGCCATGGTTATCACCAAAGGCATATTAAGCTAGCAGCTAGTGGCTCACACCAGCAATCCTAGCTACTCGGGAGACTTAGACCTGGAAGATGGCAGTTCAAAGCCACCCAGGGAAGAAATGTCCAAGACATTCCATCTTTAAGTAACCAGTAAAAAGCTGAACTAGAGGTGTGCCTCAATAGAAGTGCACCAGCCTTGAGCATGCAAGCTAAGAGAGAGCTTGAAGCTCTGAATTGCAGCTTCAGTACAAGCGCGCACACACACACACACACACACACACACACACTCACACTCACACACACAGAGAAAGGAATATCGGTAGAGCATGAATCATTCCTCTTCTATAGACTAACACATTTCCAATCTTGCCACCTTTCCACTCTGCAATCTTATATCTAAGCCAACAATGAACACAATTGCCTCCGTTTGTCTGGGATTCAGACATCAGAAGGTTATGTCTGCTTTCATAAGAATAAAAAATATCCGGCAGTCAAAGTGGCAGATAGCTTAAGTCGGAGATGACAAAACCACAGTCATGTAAATAGGTAAGGAAATGACAAGAATCACTTTTGCAACTGTAGGCCTATAGGAATGTTACAGCAGAAGCCAGGCCCAAGAAAAATTAGCAGGCCTACGAGGCACAATGCACAATGAACAAAGCCAAACAAATACCAAATCATTCAAACCAGTAACCACAATCTCAGCAGTGACAAAAACAACATATTTTAATTATAGGAATTACATAATTGCATTTGTCTCACACATTTGAATAGTCTCATAATTTCTCATTCCTAAAAATGATAAGGTGACAGATCTTTTTATATGGGAATAGATCTCTTCATAATCTTTCTCTTAGTAAAAATACCATCAAATTCTTTCAGTAGCAATGGAATCTTCCTAGTTGGAGAAAACGCTTGTTATAAGAACGGGCTTAGCATTTTCTTTATTTGAGTAAGAGGGTAAGAAAACAATTCTGCTTTGTAAACACCCATGACCAAAACCCAGGGTAATAAGCTCAAACTAAAAAAAAGGGGGGGGCAGGGAAAACAAAAAGTTGCTTGTGATCTACAAGACAATACAACATGAAAAATTTGCCACAGTGTGTGTTCACTAAACATTAGAAATGTAGACGTCACACATGATTTGAATATATGGCTCAGGTCAGCAGCTCACGTTCATTGGCCCCTCACAGCAAGGCAAGTAAAGGAAAACAGACCTAAGCGGGACATTCAAACACATCCATGTTCAATCACCTCTATTAATGGGGGTCACAGAGAAAACTATTGACCATTTTCTTAACCAACTATCTGGGGCTGGACTCCTGCAGGGTCATTTCAATTCTAGGTGGACACAGGCAGTATAGATTCAATCATTACATTTCTCTGTCAGGGTCATTTATATTAAGCAAAGTAGGAAATTAAGCTAGTAAATAAAAAATCTAGGAAGTAAATAACAAATCTAGGAAGGTGGTAAGAAGTCCTCATTATAAGGAGCAGGTGAACAGCCTTCAATTCATTAGTTCATTTGTTCATTTAATCATTAGATAATGTCTTTTCAACCATTCTTTTGGTTCCTTCAGACCAATTCGTTTTTGTGTGTGCCAATATTGGAGCTTGAACTTAGGTCCTTTTGATCTTGCTTAGCCTTTTCCGTTCACTCACTTGAGCCACACCTCCACATCTGGCTTCAGGGTGGTTAATTAGAGATAAGAGTATCACAGACTTTCTGCTTGGGCTGGCTTGGAACTGCAGTCCTCGGATCTCAGCCTCCTAACTTGCTAAGATTACAGGTATGACCCACCAGCACCTAGCTCTTCAGACTCATTTTAAAAGTTGAAATCTTGCCTTCTCTAAGCTAAAGACACTGCTGGCTACAGTGATACTAAATAATGATAAAATCACACTTTTCATCTTTTAAAAGGAAAACTGCCTTTCTTTAAAAATAATTGCTTTTCTCCCAGAGTTATAAATGTAATATTTCTATGGAACACTCAACTATTCTGCATTGTAATTATTGTATTGCTTTGTATTTCATGTTTTTTACACTCATGACTTCAGAGTTAAGTACTTGTACACCAAGAATTGCAATCACCTTTCTCTTATTGTACATGCAATGTAACAGCATACAGTTTTGGGGGCTTAACAATATTCCTTCTTTTCTTTAATAAAGGATATTTATTTGAATTTAAAAAAATCAAAAGTTAAAATTACTGTTATCTGATTTTTGCTTTGTTTTGTTCTTGTCAGTACTGGGGCTTACTGGTGTTTTACCACTTGAGTCATACTGTCAGCCCAGCTTTGTGCTGGTTATTTTGGAGATGGGGACTTTTCGGGTCAAAGACAGCTTCAAACTTCAGTCCTTCAGATCGCAGTTCTCTGAGTAGTTAGGATGCCAGGCATGAGCCACAGACACAGCCTGCTGTTGTTTCCTTCCTCCGTTTCAATATAAGATTTTGCTCTCTAAAAGATTCCAATGCCTATAGGCTGGGAAGGTGGCTCAGTGGTAGAGTGCTTGCCTTGCATGCATGAAGCCCTGGGTTTGATTCCTCAGTACCACATACACAGAAAAAGCTGGAAGTGGTGCTGTGGCTCAAGTGATAGATTGCAAAAGAAGCTCAGGGACAGTGCCCCGGCCCTGAGTTCAAGCCCCAGGGATGGGGAAAAAAAAAGATTCTGACGTCTAAAAGTAACTTTTTGAAAAGCACTTTTCTAGCAAAACAATAGCTGCAGGGCTACATGTCTGATATGTCAAACTGCAAGTGTCAACACTACAAATTCTAGGGGAAAAAAAAAGAATAAAGGGTCTCACCTTTGCCCATTTGCTCCAGAAGAATTTGTCCAGTTTGGTCTAGCTCATCCAGGTGGGGGCTTCTTTCTGTCTGCTCCTTTTCTAGTCCCTGGAAATAAAGGCCCAATATAAGAACACTGAAAACTTTCTTCTCAATTGTGCTATTTTAAATGTTTATGTTCAGTGTCCCTCTCATATGGCCTTTAGGTATTTCAGATTTACCTACAAGAATATTACAATAAAAAAAATGTTGCAATCCCAAGAGACATCTCAGTATTCCACAGACAAATAAAAAAGTACAATGAAACATGGTGATAGAAACTGTAAAACTTTAGTTTTTTGGTAGGCCTGTGGCTTTGTGATTGTGTGCTTGCCTAGCATGCCCAAGGCCCTGGGTCTAATTCCCAGCCTCACAAAACTTTGTTTCTTTTACAGTAGAAAGTTGTATAGTAGCCAAGTGCTGGTCTCTCACACCTATAAACCTAGCTACTTGGGAAGCCGAGATCTGAGGATTCTGGTTCAAAGCCAGCCTTGACAGGAAAGTGCATGAGCTCTTATCTCCAATTAACCATCAAAACTGGAAGTAGAGCTGTGGCTAAAGAGCTCTAGAGTCCCAGCCATGAGCATAAGATACAGCATCAGGTCTTCAGTTCAAGCCTCAGTAATGGCTCATGCATGTGCATATATGCACTAGTGCACATGCACACATGCACACACACAAAATTGTATACTATAATTATGAGTTTCTATAAAGAGGAAATAATTGAAATCAGTGTATTGTATGATACCTATTTGCAAACACAGCCTGAATATTTCACACCATAAAAACAGTGGTTTGAGTCAAAAGAACTGGACATGGTATGCTAGAGTTCAAGAGATATTATCTCTTAAGCCTCAGTCTTATTTGTGAGTAGCACTGTAAGTCCAGGGTCCAATGGACACTTCAACCACAGCCCATTTCGCACCTTTTGTTAAATACTATCAATATACCTTGGGACCTGATCCAAAGTATCTTGTTCTTTATGCTTGAAGAGTGGATCTTAATTTTAATTCATTCCTTGCTCAGTATTTGTCTGGGACATTGGTTCTATTAAAGATAACTAAAAATCTGAAGAAATTTAAGGTCCTACTATCAAGTAGTATATTATTTATCCTATAATCTACACATATCTCCCTAGAGACTCAAAATCAAGTTTGAGGTCAAATAACAGCAATGTTGTCTAAATCATTCCCATACTATATTTCCTCAGGGAAATATGACAAGGAATGAAGTCTGCCCATGTTCAGTACAGATATCTCAACCTAGCTCTAAAACCACAGATACATGACCAAGACACAGGTGAACAATATTCAAATGAGGAAGGCTGAAGGATGGAGGATATGTGCAGGAGGAAACTGAAGAAGCTACTTACATATCACAACCCTTTCATGGATTCAGTGTCGCATTTGGGATGTGGCAAATTCAAGTTCTGTTTTTTAGAACTTTCTGGAAATTTTTTACCCAATGTTTCTCATCTGAGGTTATTGAATCTGCAGGTGCAGAGCCCAAGGGTATAATGGGGCTGAAGATACTTAGTTTTTTAAAACTGTGTGTCTTTTTCACCCCCCAAAGAAACATAGTTTGAATAAATTTTGAGATTTGAAACAACTAGACTGCTGTGTTCAGAAGGCAAAAATCTCTGGAATAACTCAGAGCTATAAATTACTAGTTACTGGATTAAGGTAAGTCTAAATGAGGTTTTACAAGTAATGGGAAGTGGAGGTGTGGCTGAAGTGGTAGAACACCATCGTTGGGCAGAGTGTGACACCCTGAACTCAAGCCCCAGTCCTGGCACAAAATGAATGAATGAATGCATGCATGAATGAATGGATTGGATGGATGGATGGATAAATGAATTTTAAAAAATTTAAATTATAACCAGATCATGTTAGCAAGTGTTTCCTACTGTATAACATCAATGGTTCAAAGGGAGGGGTCAATTTTCTCTACACAAGTATCTAATGAAGCTAGACTGAAAGAATTCAGTATTCTACAATGTTCTGAATGTATTTGCCTACCGCTACGTTTATTTCACAGGAAGCTTTTGGACCCCATCTCAGAAAGCTTGACCTGATGAAGTATTTTATTCGCTAGAATACTTTGGTTGTAAGTGTTACCTTCAACTTCTTTTTCAATTCTGAAGTGTCTTGCATCTTCTTATACTCTTTTATCTCTGTGGTCTGAATGGCAGTCTTGAATTTCAAAATCCAGTTCAACAGCTCTGCACTCACTGTATCAAACCTGAGTGAGGATTCAGATATTACCTTCTGTCATTTCTTTCCTCCTGTGATTTTACTTAGCTCCAGAAAGAACAATACAAACACCCATCTAATGGCGGCCCCAAAATGACCACCCAGAAATATAGCCAACCCAGTAAGATCCTATCATTACAAGTAAGAATATAAATAGAGTAACAATACGATCCTATTAATAAATAAATGAATAAAATAATCACATGACTTTTTTTTAACTTCTTTAAGAATCCCTTGCAGACTTGGTTAGATAGTAACAGGAAAACCAAAGCACAAGCATTCCTAAGTTGAATGGCATCTTTTGTTCAATATGTAATTATCAAGCCTTATTATAACCCAGACACTGAGCTCAACAAGGTATCAAGGTGAATCAGAAGCAAACCTCAGCCTTTGGGAGTTTCACTCATAAGCAATACAAAGTAACCGCGCAGGAGAAAAGAATGTGCTATTGTGCAGTGCGGGTTTGGAAACACTGCTGCACTCACTTTTTCTTAGCCTCCACATCCACGTGGATCTGTCTCTTCTTTGGGGGAGGGGGCGGGGGCAGCTCCTGCTTAGACTTTTTCGTGGTGACTTGTTCTCTTAGGCGAACGGTCTCCAGAAGATCCTTCTGAGGAATCTGTGCCATCCCCAGCCTGGCCACAGCCTGAGTCACCTGAAACAAAAAGGTGAGCAAAACGTTTAAACTCTACAGAAAGAGCTTTAGGCTGGGAATGTGGCTTCGTGGTAGAGTGCTTGCCTAGCATGCATGAAGTCCTGGGTTTGATTCCTCAGTACCACATGCACAGAAAAAGCCAGAAGTGCCACTATGGCTCAACTGATAGAGCCTTGAGCACAAAAAGGCTCAGGAACAGTGCCCAAGCCCTGAGTTCAAGCCCACAACCAACCAAAAAATAATTTTAAAAGCAAAAAAAAAAAAAAACCAGAAAGAGCTTTAAAGGGACTACACAGCACATACCAGCTTCCTTTTGCACAAGTGTAATTCTAGGGTTCTCAGTGTGCAAGTAGTCACTGTGTAAACACGCTCTCATTCTAACTCCAACATCTCCCCCCCAAATTTTGTTACCCCCAAAAGTTTTGTCATCCCCCAAAGAAGTTTCATGCCCCTTAATAGCCAAATCTATTTCCGGTTCCCCCAACTCTTAGCAACTACTAATCTATTTTCTGTCTCCTAGGATTTGCCTATTTGGGATACCTTATGTAGATAGACTGGTCCTACATTCAATCAATCACATGACTGGCTTCATTAGCCCAGAGTAATGTTTTCATGGTTTATTCAAGTTCCGTGCTCTACCAGGTGTCAGCATCTCATTCTGTTTTATTACCAACTAATATTGCATTATATGGATATGCCGCATTTGATTTACTCATTGATTTGATCATTGTGAATAATGCTGCTGTAAGCATTCATGTCTAACACCAAAATGTCATCTCAGTCACTAAGTCTTCTTTTATGGGGTCGTACTAGAGTTTGAACTTATGATCTTGTGCTTGCTAGGCAGAGTCTGCCATTTGAACCATATCCCATGTCTAGTCATTTTTGCTTGCTTTCTGTTTTGAAAAGGGTCTCATATCTTGCCTCTGCTTTATGCTTCCTGTGCAGGAAGAATGACAGGTACAGCCCATCATACCCAGCTTTAACCGAGATGGAGGTCTCACAAATATCTTGCCCAGGCTGGATGGGCATTATGATCTTCCCAATCTCAGCCTCCCAAGGAGCTAGTAATACAGGGATGAGCCACTACACTCAACCGATACAGTAAAATATCAAGAGCAATATGATTACTTAAGATTTCAAAATTTAAGAATATTTATTGTACATCTGCCTAAATGTCATCCGTCACTACAGATTAAACTACTGCTATGAATAAGCTTTTAGAAGATCTAGTAAGATCTTCAGAAAACTGAGGACGTTTCCATGTGTCAATCGTTTATCCTATCAGGTATAAGGAACTAATAGCTTATCGTATCTACTCCTCTTTTCTTTTGTAAGAACTAACACACACCGGAATGTGTACACTTTTACTTTACAAGACAATATACTGTTTCAGAAAGGTACCTGGTTGGAGGAATCTTCTAGTCTCTGGACCAAAGAATCCCATCTCTGAGTCAGTTCTTCGGAGTCGCTGTTCATCTTCTTAGATGCTGTGGGATTCGCAAGTAACTGACCCACATCCTGGCCGATCTCGCTCAGCTGATCCAATGTCTGGCGCTTCATTTCCATGTCTTCCTTCAAAATCTAATATTTCAGATATTTATTAAATGACTCTCTCTTTCCGTAAGCTCCTATCTTCCTGTTCCCCAGTCAAGAAATGTCCACACACACATTGCATAGAAAAGTTTGCATGTTCGGCTGTCCCTGGGGCTGAAACAGAAGACTCCTGGTTTTGCTCACTGTGTGCGGCTCCCTAGCACTGGGTAAAATAGCCATAACCTGCAATCATGAAGTACTACCCTTCGACCCAAAGGACTAAGATATCGCAGGTTTACAACACACACGCTGACCAGGCCAACACTTACAGCCAGACGCCGAACACTGACACTGAGTTCCTTTTGGTCTTTGAAATTGCTCGTCTGGATTTTATTCAAAGCTTCTTCTTTTTCAATGAGCCACGCTTTTAACAAGCACTGTAAGTAATGACAAAAGTGGAAAATATATCTAACTCATCTGAGAATCTAACTCAAGTTCTCAAATCTTTATTTCAAGTTTTACCTTCTGCTCAGGGATAAGAAAGACGTCAAGCTCCTAAGTAAGATCTTGCAAACTACTCAGAAAAATATGTTTTTAAAACCATTATCTTTAATAGATCTATCTGCCATTACCCCCATACCAAGATGATTGCAAGAGAGTTTCAGTGTGCCCCAAGTTTAGGTTTAGGCCCTCAGAATGGTGATTAGTTAGATCTAAATCATGAACATGTATAAAAACATGTATAAGGTCATATGCATCTACACACACACAAAATTGACTTAAGTATGGTATGCTTGAAGGAGGATAATTCTACTGATGTACCTGCTCAGAACAGCTAACAAACAGCTTCACAAAGTGAATACCAGGAAGCTTGAAACATGTATGGTCAGGGGAAGCAGATAAAAAGAGGGAAGGAAGGTGGCCAAATGTAAGCCTTACACTCAATATGTATATGTGCAAATGGACTGAGGTAACTTAAGGGATGGTTGGGGTGGGGAGCGATGGGGGAAATGATGAAAAAGGTGACACGGATCGAAGCATCGTATTCGCACACAGACATGTTAAACTGAAACCCCTTTGTACAGCTACTTAAAATAAACAAGCACACCAAGAAAAAGCAAACAGAATGAAACTGTGTAAGCCATAGAGTGTCATGGAGATCACTGCGGATGCTGCTTGCACAAGGAATTAATGAAGCCCCGCTGTGTCCTCAGAGAGGACGTTAGTACAAGAGCCAGGCTGTGCCCTCCCGGCTACCTGCTTCATCACGTGATCACTCTATCTTGTGGGTACTCCAACCATAAATGCCAGCTGTCCTGATCTGACAGACAACCCAGGCCATGCAGTGCCGAGTTTTAGTCTCCCAAACAATAAGGTATTTAAGCTGCTTTTCAGCACACTTACCCAGCTGTGGGTATTTCTATTAGAACCACAGAAAAACAGACTGATGCAGTAACTAAACCTAAATCTCAGAAAGGCAGATGGATGGAAAATGCTATGCCCATAATCCAAGTCTCTCCAAAAGAATCCTATCACAAATCTAGAAGTAGAGGGAAGCTCAGAGATCGCATTGTTCCAGCCTCTCTTTTTAGAGACTGGGGAGATAGAAGTCAGGTTGAATGTTGGAGATCCACTGGCTAATGGGTGACCAAATTAGATCGAGGACTCTCCTCCCTAACCCAAGGTCTTTCCATGGCTCTGTGCAGAAAACAACACTAATGGTCAAAGTTCTAAGTCACAGAATGAAAGGAGAAGGTTTGCAATGGTCTGAAGCCATTAATAACAATATTTAAAACTCATTGTTCAAACCTTACTGTTCCTCAGGGAGAAGATATTAAATAATATAGAGATAACTTTGAAGAGAAGTGGAAAGCAACTGTGGCTGCATTGGGGTAATTCTCCCCAAAATGGAGCATGTTCTACAGAAAGCCTTTTCTACCAAACTAGGGGAGGGAGCAATCTTGGTTCTGTATTGGCAACTGGAATCATTCTTTCTCAACGATCTCATTAATTTACTTAACAACTACTTCTCACCTCTATATTTCAATGGGGAAAAAAATGGAGACAAATACAGATGCTCTCCTCAGTCTCCTATCAGACATATCGACATGCACATGCTTAACCATCAAATAGAATAAAAGGTGCAGAGAGTATACACATGGGTGCACAAAAACACACACACACACAAACACACACACGCATGCATACACGTATGCACACAAATATAACTGCAATGCCCTATGCTAGTAGAAAGTGAGGTTAATATAAAACTTCAGGTGACACAAATATCCAAGATACTAGCCACTCTAGTTTTATAGTATTTTTTAAATTATAACATTATTCTGGTGTTCCCTGGCAAACAATGTCTCCCATGGTCACGGGAGCCTGAACTCTTAACTCTTCTATGTGACTCTCTGATTTGACTGAAGAGTTCCAAGTAGATGTAAATATTGGTAAAGTACAACATAAATATTCCAGAACACACAACCAGTTCATTATGCAATTTAAAAAAAGATGAGGGGAATGTAGTGATTGATAATTTATTTGGACAAACTTTCCAACCTAACCCTGGAGACATATAATTTACCACTGTGTTTAGTAAACCACAAAGCATCTTAGCCATGGTTTCTCTATCTCAAGAAGAGAATACGGCTGCTCATTATGGACGGAACTGAAGTGTTCTTAAAAGAATCGAATCGACGCTGAAAGGTAGGGATAGAAACCTGCTGATTTACAAGACCACGACTGTCTGGCCTTCAGGGAGAAAGGTTACATTTCTTTGCATTCTGTTTCTATGGCTGCTTTTCTATCAGAGTAGAGTGTGGCCCGAGGTCACCCACTCCAACTGAAAAACGAGAGTGGCAGCTCTGATTTTTTGCTTCATTTCCTGTGCTGATCTCTTCTGGAAAAAATATACCAACTGAGGGTTTTATGAAATGCAAGGCCAAAAAATAGTTGCTCATTCATTTCCATATTTATCCTAGTGAAAAGTGAAGAAAAATTCTTGTACTTTAAGGTTTAAAATGTAGGGAGTAGATTTGCTCATTAATTATTTATTGAGCACAAATCATAGGCTAGGAGTCTTATTGGTACAAATTCAAGTACACTGCCCAATATATAGAATCACTTTACAATGTTTAATCAATTGAGGTCATAGCATGCCCATGCACTAAGACTTTGAATAATGAACACTGATCAAATTAAATATTACTAACAAGGAGTTATATGACATGATCTTTATGGCTGCACAACTGATTGCAAAATAGATAGAAATCTGATTTTTAAAATAATAAACATCCGGGCACCAGTGGCTCACAGCTGTAATCCTAGCTAGTTAAATGGCTGTGTTCTGAGGGCCTTGTTTTAAATCCAAGCCAGAAAGGAAAGTCTATGAGACTCATAGCCCCAGTTAACCACCAAAACACTGGGAGCAGAGCTGTAGCTCAAGTGTTAGAATACCAGTAAGAAAGTTAAGGAACAGAGCCTCAGCCCTAAGTTCAAGCCTTAATCTTGGCACACACATGCACGCACGCACAATTAATAATATTAATAATTATTATTATTATATATTTTCCTCTCAAAGAAGACAACCTCATTCTAGTGTTATAATAAAAGATGAGCTATTTTTCATTCTATCTTTGTCCCTGAGGATAACAGGGTTTCATACCTGTTCTTCCAATAATTCCTGCCACAATATATTGATTTCTTGTAACCTGTTCCAGCGTTCTTCAGTCCACCGGCACACAGCTGTCCAGCGCTCTCCGAGTTTCTAGGAAAGGAGGAAGCCAGCCTTTGTCAGCACAGCCCAAGGAGGGACTAGCTCACAAGTCCACTGCTCTTTATTTAAAAGAAGCAGTGTATACAAAAGTGTTATAAAAGTTGACTTTAAAAATTATGCAGGCTAATTTAATAAATATACAGATGAGAACACCTAATTTCCACAGAATTGACTCATTAACTCATTTCACTTTTCTGAGCTACCGAGCAACACAACTGGAACTTATACCTATCAGGAGAAAGGCGATCTACCATGCACCTCCCATTTCTCTATTGTTATTCAAGAATGTCACGTTTTTATGTACATTGCGAAATACAGCAAAAGTCTCTAATTCATTTGTACTTCAAATTATTCTGGTTATAATTATCTTTCAGAATAAAGCAAGTAGTCAGCTGTGGTTATCCAAGCCTAGAATCTTAGCTACTTGGGAAGCGTGACCCACAGCCAGCTGATCATAGTTGGAGGCCAGCCCAGGCATAAAAGCTTGCATCACACCATCTCAGTCCACGGCTGGGTGGCGTGACCTGCCTCAGTCACCCAAGCTATGGGGAAGCACAAGGTCTGGGTGCAATGGTGCCTGCACCTGTCACCCCACGACAAAGGAAAGCACGAATGGAAGACAGTCATCCAGGCTGGCACAGCATAAAACAAGACACTATCTCAAAAACAGCCACTGCAAAAATGGACCCATAAAGTAGTAGAGTGCCTGTCTAGTAGATCCAAGACCCTGAGCTCAAACCCCTGAACTGCAAAGACAAGTTAAAACAAAAACACAATACATACTGAGAATGCTTTTGTTCGTAGTAACCTAATTAGGAAAAATGTCCAACCTTACAATCACTATGTCTTCAGTGTGAGAATGTGTTTGATTACTATAAAACAATAAAATGTTTAATGATTTGCTTGGTTTACATTACAGGATGATCCAGAGCACACCCTGCATACTGGACAAAGAAATCTATTTAACTTTTAAAACTCATAATCCTCCCAAAATAAAAATTGTATTTTGATTTTATAAATGCTTAACAAATGATAAAATGTCCTTCCACTTTCTTACTTGAGAACATGAGTTAGTTAATTGTACTGTTTTGATATGGCATAAGCTTTTCAGAACATACAATGGAGAGAATACAAAGCCAGCAGGCAAGTCTCCAGCCACATCTCAGCATAACTCACTGTCATCTTAGGAGATCCTTTCACTTTTCAACTTGTTTCCTCACTACTAAATATTCAAGACATGAGTAGCTACCTCGCATATCATTGATACACCTACACACTACGACTTCAGGGAAGTCTCAAAGCCATAGGCCAACTTTAAATATTACAAATAAAAAGGAATTTCATATGGTGAAGTTACATTATTAAAGAATTGGCAATGTCCTAATAGGTAATCCAAGCACTATTAAATGAAATACCAATACATCTCTTTATGTAGATGGTACCCCTACCCGCAATCCCAGCTACCTATGAGAAAGTGAAGAGGACAATCACGGCAAAAAGTTAATGAAACCTGATCTCAACAAATCAGCTGGGCACAATGGTGCAATTGTCACTCTAGCTATGTAAGAGACATAATAGGAGAATCAGGTCCAGATTAGCCTGGGCAAAAATGTGAGGCCATATTTGAAAGACAAGAAAAAAAAAGAAAAATAGAAATACTATTGCTTTGTGGATGAAGGAAGGGGAGGAAGAGGAAGGGAAGAAGGAAGGAAGGAAGAAGAGGAGGAGGAGGAGGAGGAAGAGCAATTTATTATGCCTCCCAAAACTATGGAAATCCATGTGTGAATCTACCAAACAAACAGGATATCAAATCCTACATGGCCAAAATTCCCAAATTCTAATAAGCATCTATATTTTCTTCACAATGTACACCCACTGTCCAACCTTTCCTCGCAGCAGAGATTCAAATCTTCTCAGGACTGGAATCTACATTTTCACAAATTCTCCCCATGATGCCATGAGCCAAGTTGCACTCACTTCCTGTGTTAATACTACACACGGGAAGCTGTCCAACTACCCCCGTCCACTCACCGCAAGAGCCGAAGTAAGGGAGCCCTACCTGGGTACTCCTAAACCCCACATGCTGCACAACTCCACATGGGAAGTACAGTCAAGGACGGATGTGATGGTTTGTCTTCCAAATCATGTAGGAGTTTATAAAGAAGGTAGAAACTTAATGTGATTATGGTGTGTAGGAGCAGGCTATCTGCACAGGTCTAGAGATTAAGCCATTAGAGTGGCGCCACCCTGACTGAACACAGTCTTTGTAGGGAGAAGGACAGACACTACACAGGTAGACCTATGTGTGCTCCCGCAATGATGGAATGCAGCCAACGAGGAGCCTCAACCAGCGCCTATTCCATATTGAACTAAATAGGCCTCCAAAACTCAGCTAAACAAGCCTCTCTTCCTTATAACGTAGCCTGTGTCTGGTATTTGGTTATGATAATGGAAAGCTGAATAGCACAGTAGGTTTTCCTTCTATCCTGGGTAAACAACGGGGCTGATCATAAAGCCTGCTGCCCTCAGCGGCCCTTGCAACACAGGCTCTTACCTGCAGCTGGTCTTCCAGAATAGCCGTAGCACTCTCGCCACTGTTTTCATCAACTATGACCACCATGTGAGTCAGGGAATTTACCTTTACCTGCTCAGCCTCAAGATCATTTTGCAAACTCTATAGAGAAAAAAAAATAAGTTAAAAGTGTTATGTCTACCCTAACACATTTACCTTTTTAAAATCCACTCCACTGTCAATAGTCATTAAGGGCAGCTAATGAGGCACCATATTTAAATTTCCAATCATTATCCTAAGTGTTCTAGTAATGGAACAAGCCTGTTATACATCTTTACATCTCGGTATGAACCCAAGCAGTGTGAAAATTCAAAGCTGATAGCAGATCGCAAATGGTTTGTCATCATTTGTATTCCGTCTTTCCCCCACCAAATCATAAAAGAGCAAGGGGGGTGGTCTAGACTAGGAATTAAGACCAAAAAAAAAAAAAATACAGGGAGAATTAGTGAGTAAGAAACTCCAAATATACTGAACCAGAGATGTAGCTGGTCCAGTATAAAGAAACAGACACTAGAAGTCTATCTGCTATGCAGAAGCTATTTTAATTAGCTACTCAAGAAAGCAATTAAAGACATATGGAGGCCTTTCCTTCCCTCTTCGGTAGGGAAAGTACAGTCATCAGACACCCGCGGAGAGGTAATTTGTTTAAGCACTATCAACAGTGGTGTGAAATGCCTATTGAATAATGTTTAATGTAGCCCTAATGCTTTATTAATCCATTATATAGATGTTTCATTGATCAATAAAGTCTTTAATCTACAGAAGTTATTTTACACTACTTTTGCTTATCATAACTATGAAATCTGTGAAATGTTTGTGAACCAATTAAAATATCCTTCAAATCCCACCTCACCCAAAGTCCTTCTGTTCCTTCAGAAAAGGAACAGAGGATTTGCCTTAAAAAAAAAAAAAAATGGAATAGGTTCATCTCAGGATTACCTTCTTAACCCATACCTGGGACCAACATCTAGGTTTTTCTCAACGACTGGCAAGTCCAACCTAATGCAAGCTATGCACGTTCACAAGAAAACCGTGCACACCTACATAAAGTGGTTTTCTGTACCTGTGCTGTCATCCCTGGCTCAGAAAAGTGAAATCCCCACATGAACTCCATGCTAGGACAACTCCACACTGATAGAAGCCATGGGCCCTGGGGATGCTAATGGCTGCTCTTTCACATCAGAGAAGGTAGGGAAGAAACAGAAGGTAGATTTACTTTGTGCTCTTCAAGCAGCTTTTGCAGGGATGGTAAGTCATCCTCAAGGGGACGGCTTTCCATCTTCTGGATGCGATCTTCGGTGAGGGTTAACCAGGCCGAGAGCTGCTGCAGCTGCTTCTTTTGCAGATCCATCAACACGTCGTGTAGCCTGGCAAGGGAAGCAAGTAAGGGACAGAGCAATGTTCCCACCTCTGGTTCCCTTGCCCAGGTATCAGAGAGACAGAACAAGGAACACAGCCCTGAGAGACTACGTAAATAGCATGTAGTCTGTAAGTACAGAACCCAGAAAAACAAAATCTTTCAGTCCACACAATGCAATCACAGAATGTAACAACAACCTGCATTCATCTCTGATGCCTTGTTTGTTCAATCAGGAATTCCTGCTTATTAAATAAGTGCAAACAGTAACGGACTGTATCACACACAACGCATGAAATCAAATGGACCACAGAAAGACACTGGATAACAGGTCCACATTACATGATCCCATCCTCATATTCAGTTAGCTTTGCCAACGTTAGTCCAACTGCCAGGTTGCACGGGTTCCTGTCCGTGTGAAATGCCTCTCCCCTTTGCACCCACTTCCATTTCACAACTCTGACCTTTTAACTTGGCAGATGAGGATGGTGTCGAATTCCAGCACTGTGACACACAGAACAGAGAATGTCACCAGGCTAGTTCTACCCGGGTGAGGGTGCCACTCACCGGGACTGCCGCTCCATGCTCTCCACCCTGAGCGCCTCCCATCGGGCATTCAGCAGGGTCATCTGTTCCTGAATCTCAAACTCTTCTTCATCCGACAGAGTGCCTTGTGTGATCAGCTGATTTCCTGCCTGCAGGACGCTGCCCACGCTGCTCTGGTGTGCGGTCAGCTCCATCATAAAAGCCTAACAAGTGTGCAGACGTAATGATGAAATTGCCCCCAGGTAACTGTTGTAAGTCAATTTTAGAAGGGAAAAAAAAAAGACATCTAGCAAGTACATCATGTTGATTGGTGAATGGGCTGCTAACTCGAGATATTACTAGTGCGCAACTGAAATATCAATGCCTTGAAGAAAGTAGCCTAGTAGAGGAACCATCAAGTACTCTTGGATGCAATGTTTGTAAGAATAAGCACCAGTGTAAGTCAACAGAAAAATACATCAAGGAGAATGAGGCTATCATACTTGCTTCTTAAAATGTATAATATTTGTTTCCTAAAAGTGCTGCTGCTGCTACTAAGAGATCATGAACGTGAAATCAGGAACAAATATAATAAAGAAAAATACCGTATTCATGTAAGAGGAACTGTTTATGGGATATTATTATTCTTTTGGATCCAAAATAGCATATAAGATGTGTCAAGAACTTTCCTACCTATACGAAAACTTAACCAGGCCAGGCACAGTGGTAAGCATAGAATCCTAGTTACTTGGGAGATGGAGATCTGGGATTCTGGTTCAAGGACAGTACAGGCAAAGGAAAGTTAAGGAGACTCTATCTCAGCCAATGGCTGGGCATGGTGGCATGCACCTGTCATACCTAGCAAAAAAAAAAAAAAAATGGGGAAGCAAAAACAGGAAGACCACATCCCAGTCTGGCTCGGGCAAAAAGCAAGACCCTACCTTGACAACAGCCAACGCAACAAGTAGCTGGTGGTGTGTTTGGAGTGACAAGAGTACCCACCTAGTAAGCGCAAAGCCCTGAGTTCAATCCCCAAAACCCCTTTTACCACATCCACCACCACTACACAAAGAACTGCATAGCTATTCTCCACATATTCAAAATCACTACCCTGCAATATAACACAATCTTCAAAATAGCAAGCAACACTCATTACATAAAATTATATAGGAACCCTGAGTATGACATTTGCTTAATAACATATAAAAAAATGAAAATAATCACTTCCTGGAAAACACTCAAGATCAAAAAAAGATTTGCTATTTTCATTAGTCATTCTGCTTCCTCCCTATGGTAATACGCTTGACAAATGGGCAGAGCTGAGCACTGATTTCTGTCAGTGGTTCTATAAAATACCCACGTTACCGGAGGATTAACATCTGAAATCTGACTGTGATGCACTGAGTCACCAACAACAATTTCCTAACAAAGCCCTCTTTGAACATCACAACTAAAATACTTCATGACCTTTTGGCGGATAGAGTTCAAAACAACAACCACAACCACCAAAAATGCAAGTGGAAACCCTTGCTGAAGGCAAGGAGCCTACAGCTCACAGATCGGGGCTGCTAGATCTCGCTCATCCACGACAGATATTTACTTCATGGGTGGCAAACTGGTCTTTGACCTCTTCTACATCGTCGGAAATGTCATCCTGCTCCTGGAAAGTGTCCTCAGCAGACAACAGCCAGGTGAGCACTTCTTCCAGGGCTATCTGATAGCTGTCCAGATCCATGTCCACCTCAGTGACCGTGCGGGGGGTCTCGGCTAGGGGACTGGTGGAGTGCTCCCCCACCAGCGATGTGTCCTATAAAAACAGAACCAACTGTCACCAAGATGCAAGGTGCAGATCAAGAACACACGGTGTGTACCACCACCTCATGTTCTCAGGACAAGAGATACAGGGAAAGAATTGGGAGTGTTTATTCCATGCACACGGACAGCAACATCATTTCAGCCTCAGAGATTCTGACAGAGCTGGAGAGAGAATTGGAACACAAATGAATTGCTGAACAAAAAGACACAACTCTCTGCCAAGCTAGGAATCCTGGGCTGTCACCAAGGACTGTCATCTGAAAGTACCCAGGGTGAAAGCAGCAAGAGGATTTCACAGAGGAGCGGAAATGTGTTGGATCTTGAACAATGGATGTAATTTACAGAAAGAAAGAGAGACCAGCACTCTGCTTTGACCCCTGCTTAAAATGGTCTCACTGAATCTGACATGCATTTTGCCATTACATTCTTTTTAATATTTTTTATTATCTTTAAGGACCTGTACAAAAACAGTTTATGAATACAGTGCATCTTAATCGATGTCACCCCTTTCCACATTCTCATCCACCCCTTCCGAACCCACCCCTTCCCTTACTTACCTTAATTTGAGGTTTTATGTATTGATTTTACTGCCATTTAACAAAGAAGTCCATGTGTACAATGCATCTTGAGCTGTGTCAGCCTTCAACACATTCACCCCCCTTCGATCCACCACTTCCCTTATAGTTCTCAATTCTGTGGTGTATACAATGAACTATTGCTTGCATCCTCCCCCCACCCCCTTCATTTTTCTACCCTTTGGCATCACCCACATCTCTTTGCAAAACCCATTTTCTAGTCCTTATTTTGTTGGGCTTTGACTTAGTCTTTTTAAAGAATGATACTACCAGTGCTCTCCACAGCAAGTTCATTTGTAACCCCTTGCTTACCACCCTGTGTGTTTAGCCACATATACAACCTGAGGTACTTAGTGCTTTGGTTTTAGTACATTTTCTTTTTTGAGAAAACGGTCCCTAGGTCAATTACTTCCTCAGTATGGTTTTCCTCTCTTTCCCCCTTTCTTTTACTCCTTTATTTCTGTCCCTTTCTCTTCTTTTTTTTTCTCTCTCTCTTCCTTCCTTTCTTCCTCTTTTCCTTTCTTGCTTTCTCATGGAATGCTCACGGAATAGACCTCTCTCAGACTCTTTTCAAGCAGCTGAGTTTTTATTTGGATATTTCCATGCACAAAGCACACCTATTGTGACTCTTGCTCTTCCGTTCCTGATCAGAGCAAAGCTCCTTTAAAACCTGCCTACGCTCTCCACATCCAACTCTCACCCCACAAGTTTTAAACAGAACTTTTCACATGTATATAAGTGAACAGACAACCATAAAAGACATGTTCACATGTCTTAACTGCTCAAGTCTATCAAAAGACCCTTTCACTCTGACTCCTTTTCCCCAGAAGCCCACTGCAAGGATGACAAATCCTTCTTTACATTAAGGATAGCTAGGATTACAGGTGTAAGCCACTAGGCCTGGGAAAAATGGGAAAAATACTTATTAGTGGCCCAAAAGACAAAAAAAAAAAAAAGAGGAAACCTAAAACTGACAGGAGCAAAATCACCTTGAGCACCTGACAAGGGTGTCAAAGATGGCAGCCAGGGCATGAGAGAGTGGTGGCCTGATTCAGGTCATGCAAAAGCATGGTTAATAGCCCCAGACCCTAAATCCACCCCAGGTATGTGAAGTAATGTATTTCCTTTTGAATAACGTTAGTTACGACTTTCTATTGACACACATGTGACCTACTTTCTATTGACATACAGCAGGCTAACTGAAAAATAGCATCTAAAAGTCATATACATGGAAAACTCAAGATATGCCACCTTTCCCCCCCCCACACACACACACACACACTCCGTGGAAATATTGTGCTCTGGTCCCTGTGAGAAAAGAAACGTGGCAGGTGTCAAGCAGTGTCACATAAAGGCGCCAGTACCTGTAGATGAATGTCTTCCTCCTCACACTCTCTCTTGTACTTCCTTGGGAGAGTCTCAACCTCACGGATGGCATCTATGCTGATTTGCTGAGGTAGCACCTCAAACAATGACGTTAAATACATGATTATCGATTTCTTGTCAGGAAGCTGCACAGCAATATCTAAAAATGGAAGAAAGCAAGAAGCAACTTAAATTAAATGTCCAAAATATGTGAACACTTCAATATTAGGTTATAATATAGGTCTCCTTCTTAACCATAAACAATACCTAATGAATCTCTATAATACCATGTTACAGTAAATTGCTGTGTCACATCATATATTATGAGAAAAGTTGGAGAAGACTGTTTACTTTTTTCATTCAGTATCCATTTCTTAAAAAGCTTACCTGGGCTAACCAGGATCCAGTATCTCATACCTATATTCCCAGCTAGTCAGGAGGCTGAGATCTGAGGTTGCAGTTTGAGGTAAAAAAATATCTGTAAGACTTATCTCCAATAAACTACCAAAAAGCCAGAAGTGGAGCTGTGGCTCAAGAGCTAGAGCACTAGTTGGGTATAAATGAGCTCAAGGACAGTGCCAAGGCCCTTTGTTTAAGCCCAGGAGTGGCACACACAAAAATAAATCTTACCTAAGCCAAACACAGCAGAACATATTTATAATCCCAACACTTGGGAGGCTGAGGCAGGATTATTATTTGAGGACCGCCTGAGGTAACTAATGAGACACAATCTCAAACAAAACAACAACAAAAAACCTTCTGAAAAAGTTTCCTCAGTGATAGCATGGCCTAGCCTGCATGAAGCTCTGGGTTTGATCCCTAGTCTTCCAAGAAAAACAAAATCTCAAAGACGAAGTAGAAATATTATAGCATAAAATAATGGTACAAGCCAAGCACAAGCCATTCATGCCTGAACGTAGTAGGACAGAGGCTCCAGGTCAGCCCTGTCTGAAACGTCTGAAAGACCCTATCTCAAAAACAACCAGCAAAAAACAGGGCTGGACATGCAGGTACAAGTGGGAGAGCATCTGCCTAGCAAGTATGGGGCCTTGAGTTCAAAATCCAGTGCAAAAAAATTTTTTAATAACTTTAATCAATGAATAGACCTTATTTACAGTACAAAAGTAAGTCTAGAACTCAACCTTATAACACAAGTCATACATAATATACATAATTCTAAACCAAACCCTGAACTGCTTGCTAATAAAGTATTGTTCTAAAACACAAATCTCAATTGATACATATGAGTATACAATGAAGTAACTGAATTTCTGTCTAAAAGATCCTACAGATGGCTAAATACAAAAGCACTCAAACATTGTTTGCAACAAACAGCTTACACCTACATGTCAAAAGGGAAAAAGTCAATTCCTATAATGCATTCTAGAAGAGATAAGCAATACCGCCTTCATGAATTTGAAACCGCAATGCAAAAATCAAGTTCCCAAGGAAAGGGTGAACAATACCTTCAGGATCTAACAGCTTTTCAATTCCCAAATACATCTGGGCTTGGCTGAAAGCATGTTCAAGTCTCTCAATAGGGGTCATTTGGACAACTCTGTCCCAGCTGAAGAGATCAGGTCTAAAATCAATAGGCAAACAAAATTTAATGAAGAAAGAACCAAGGTAGGAATTGATACCATCTAATAGATTCCAAGTTGGGATTCTTTTGTGAGGTTTTTCCTTAAGTGAAATATTTTTATATTCCAAAAGTTGGTCAAACATATATTATTTGAAAAGTAATTGAAAACCATAAAAATAAGAGGTACCACATTGTAAGATTCTTATGTTAAACACGCTGACTCAGATTTTGGGGTAGGCATTATAACCTCTGACTATATTTCCCAAAACAGTAAAATAAAAAAGATAGGGAGACTCTATTCAAACGAAAAAAAGAAAGGAAAAAAATACAGGAAGACTAAGGGAAATACTCTAACTCTTAGCATACACTAAGTGGTAAAAATGAACCTAAATAAACACATCAATTATCCCAATCAATGTGAACAGAATAAAATCTCCAATTAAAGATCAGTGGGCTAGAGACCCCCAGCAAATCAGGAGCTGAGGCAGGAGGATCGCAAGTTCAAGGCCAGTCTGGTTTTCTCCCTTTCTCTGCCCTGCAAAAAAAAAGACCAAAACTAACAGAATTTAAAAAAAAAAAAATCCAGCTCTAATTAGAAGACATTGCTCAAACAAAGGTCCCAGGAGGGTTTCTCTTTAATTATCCCCCTGCAAAGCACTATGACCTAGACTTTTATTGCCATCTTACTTTCTTTTCATCCCTCCCCTTGCATATTATGATGGCTTTGACTGGAAGTTGGTCATTTTCTCTGCACTGTGTTCTCGCATCTGAGACTTACCCACCTTCTGGGACTGAGTGCCTCCCTCAGTCCTGATTGCACCATTTCCTCCTTAACTTAATCACCCATTGCTCCACCACTCAGGCCACTGTAGCCACCCATATATGTAAGGGTCCTCCTTCCCTTTTGCCTTCTGCTAGCTACCAGTTCTATATACAATCTATGTACTCAGTTCTCTATTAATGTTGGCCTCCCTCTAGAAGAACACAAGACCCAAGAATTTATTTTTTTGGGTATGATGTGGAAAAGATCAACTTCACTTCTTACATAGAGATAACCAATTATCCAAGACCATCTGTTAATCTGCACCATCAACTCAGTTGTTTATCAGATTTTCTTATATAATGGGGCTATTCTTTAACTCATTATTCAGCCAGGATGAACTATCTGAAACTACTGTTTCAAATATCACAGACAGTCAAATATGACTAGGTGTGGTAGTAGATACCTGTAATCCCAAAAGTCAGGAAGCTAACTTAATAAAAAAAAAAACACCTCTGTCCAATAATACCAAACCAAAAGAACAATTAAGTAGTGGCAATTCCATATGGTTCAGTCTAGGTGGTATTACTGTACTTATTTATTGTGCTGAATACTCTTAATATAGCTTCAGAGTTTAGTTTCTTCTTAGAAAGTATTTCAGTAAACTGAATATTTTTGGACCTTTGGTTTTTTTATATACAAACCAGAGTCTGTTTCTAAGCTTCCTAAGAAGATCATGTGTCTATTTTCAGTAGTGAATATAGAGCTTTGCTTTACAGAGCTTTGCTTTTGCTATAGGAATAAAAATTGACACAGTCCTTTGTACTCATTGCTAATTAAGGCTGAAGAAGGAGTGGGACTGAACTATGCGAAATATTTTACAGCTTAACTTATACATATGTAGGAGAAATTGTGGACATCGCACTGTGGCATTTAAATTGTAAAGAAATATTTGGTGCTCGTTGGTCTCTATATGTCTGTCTTTCACGTTTTGGCAAAAGAGTGCAGAGAGGAGCGCGGGGGTGACGGGTAGGGACTTTGAGGAAGAGGAGCAGAGGAAGGGCAGGAAGGAGATGGGTATTTGCACAGCCCTGCATCCTCTCCCCTTCTGCCCTGAGGAAAGTCTCACTTATGTTGGTGGAGCACAGCATTGAAGGCGAGCCCATCGGTCCAGCTGGTGGTGAAGTTGAGGACGTTGACTTGGCTATAGGGCCTGGTTGTCTGCCGCACCCAGCTCAGCAGGATTTTCTCACTGTTGGTCTGCTGCAGGTCTGACATGATGTCCTTCATGACATCTTTCACCTAGTCAAGAGACACCACCGTACTGTAACCCTCTCCCCCCTAACCCCCGGCACGCCAACCATGAGATACACTGCCTGAACACTGCTCACACATGAGCATCTTCCCCTATGACGAAAACCCAACCTCTATTTTCTACAAAATGGGAATGGAAAGAAGCACTCTTAACTGTCAACCAAAAATGAAAAGATGAAATAAAGTTCCTTATAGTAGTATATCACTACATTATATTATTATATTTTAGCAGTATAGATACCAGTATAATTATATCCAAGGACTTGTTATTTCCTGTTATTCTAAACTAATCTATACATTTTAAGGTAGCTCTAAGAAAATGTAGACAGACCTACAAGCCACATCCAAAAACAATATCAAGATGAATAATTACAAGGAGAAGATAATAAACCTATTATAAAAGGTCATGAGACACTCACTAATAAATATAAATGAGTGGAGGGGAGAAGAAAGGGTAGAAGGGAAGGAAAGAGAAAAAGAGAGAAAGGGAAGTTCTATGCTACAAATAGAACGTTGGTTTAAAAAAAAAATGTGAAAGGAGGGCCAGGCACAGTAACTCATGCCTGAAATACCAGCTACTCTGAAGTGGAGATCAGGAGGAGTACAGTTTGAGGCCAACCCAAAAGAGACAATAGCCAATTCACACAGAGGGATATTCTGCAAAGCAAGTGGCTAAGTCTTCAAAAGTGCCCAAATGGTAAACTGTTCCAGATTAAAGACAACCAAAGAGATGTGACAAATGAATATAACCCGTGAGCTTAAATTTTCTTTTTCTTTTATAAAGGGTATTATTAGGGTAGTGGACAACATGTCCATGAAGCTGGGCACTAGTGGTTTGTGCCTGTAATCCTAACTACTCTGATATCTAAAGTTCAAAACCAGCCTGAGCAGACTAATCCCGGAGACTCTTACCTCTGAATACCAGCAAAACAACTAGCATTGTTACCCAGTAGACAATATGTTGACAGTGTAAGCAGGGACGGGATGGAAAAACTGGGAGAGAGTGAAAAGAGAGGGGAGACTGTCCAAGGAGAAATGTACTCATTGCCTGACTTACGAAACTGTAACCCCTTTGCGTAGTAACAATACTTAATTTCTAAATAAAAACAAAACAGAAAACTGAAATTAGACGTGTTGCTCCAATAAATAAATAAAGCACAAACTGAAAAAGAACAAAAGCAAAAGGCTCAGAGTTCAAGGCCCAGTATCAGTATCAGTAGGCAAAAAAAAAAAATCTCTATGAGACATGTAGGTTATATTTATTCAGTTATTTTCCTGATTAATCATTATTGATGATTATTGGCATATGATCATTATAGTAAAATAATCACAAATATTAATATGCATTTCACATTACTAGTATATGGCAGGTATGTCAACAACCTCTAGCTTTTTACAATGTTATGTTTCAGAAAACACAGGAAGTGTATTATGGCACCTTAAAGTGAAGAGAGGATATAAAAATATTTAGACAGAAAGAAAGAATGAGCAGAAGGAAACACAGGCACTTTCCCATGTAAGGAATCTGAAGAAGGACATTTGGGAACTCATTGAACTCTTCTTGTAAGCTTTGAGAGGGAGAGAGTGTGTGTGTGTGTGTGTGTGTGTAAAATTAGATCAGTTTTGTCAGATATTGGTAGCTCATGCCTGTAATCCTAGTCACTCAGGAGGCTGAGATCTGAGGATACAATTTGAAGCCAGCCAGGGCAGGAAAGTCCATGAGACTCTTTATCTCTAACTACTAAAAAAGCCCCAAGTGGAGCTGAGGTTCAAGTGGTAGAGCACTAACCTTGAGCAAAACAAGCTCAGGGACAACACCCTGGTCAAGCCCCAGGACTGGCCCACAAAAACAAGAAGTAGGCCAGTTTTACTAATTGACTATAAGAAAAATGGAGATCATTTTCCCCATGCTAGGAACCCAGAGCAGCTCAGCCCTTTCCACTTCAAACCCTTATGAGCTGAGCTCTGCTCATCCCAATCCACATGCACAGACGTAGCCCCAGGATCTCAGAACAGAGCCTTATCTGACAATGGTGCCTTTGGACACATCACTGAGGGAGGCTAAACATACTGTCCTTACGACAGGTTCAAGGGCACATACACAGGGACAACGCTGTGTGAACACACGGGACACCATCACAAGCCATCCGATCCCTGAGTGTTCAACAAGCAGCAGCAGCAGCTGGTGGAAAGACAGGGACATGCTCCGGTCGGCAGCTCCTAGAGCAGCCGCAACCCTGCTGACACCTGGGCCCAGGGCTCTTCCACTGACAGACAATGGGTTTCTGTGGATCAAGCTTACCCATTTGTTGGACTTTGTGATGATGACCCCCCTAGTAAATGAATACATGAAGAACACACTATCAAGAAGCGATTGGAGATTTTCCCACCTGCCAGTGCAAAATAATGCTCCACAGTAAGCCCAAAGTCAGCTTATGGTTTCCGTCCACGATGTCCGTGCCTCCTATATTCACTAATTCCACCTAGCAAAATAAAAATAAATAAATAAAAATGACTTTTAGGATAATTTCTGCCAAGAATTCCAGGTTTTTGATTTGGGACCTTTGCAAAACTATTTAAATGAGTAGTACGACAGATTTCATTTTAGGGGGATCAGATAAATGGAAATATCAAAAATATATTATTTAGACATGCATCACTGGTAGCTCACACCTGTAATCCTAGCTACTCAGGAGGCTAAGATCTGAGGCTCTCAATATGAAGCCAGCCTGGGCAGGAACGTCTGTGAGACTCTTAATCTTCCAATTAACCACCAAAATGCTCAAAATGGAGCTGTGTATCAACTGGTCTAACAGTCCCCTTGAGCAAAAACAATGCTCAGGGGCACTGTCCTGGCCCTGAGTTCAAGCGCCAATACCAGCACAAGAATAAAATTACATAAGAGAGAGATAGTATATTTATACAATGTATCAATAAAGCCAGCAGAAAGGCACATGACTGTTCATTCAGAGAAGAGGTTTGGACTTCGAAGAAAAACATCTTCAAGAACAAAGGGCAGCCAGTGCACACAGCGGGCACTGAGGGTGGCCGGGCCTCGGGGTCACTTCGGAAGCTTACACTGTTTTGATGCAGAACCTGGAGCACTCTGTTCACGTTATTCAAGGCGTGCACTCTTGTGGAGCCACGTTCTTTTGGCTGGAAAATAAAAGCACAAAAACAAGTAAACCCAGCATCCCACCTAATGCCTGACAAACACAGACCTAGAAATGCCCACAGAACAACAAATAGGTCAGCGCTTGAAGGCGCTCAGAACACCAGCCTGGATGCCAGTGCTCACAGAATGCCAAATCGCCAACTGGTATCATCTAACTGTACTCATGAGTACAGCAATTTACCTACATGCTGTAGGACAGAGCTGTTTCTAATCTAAACTGGCCCGGATATTGAAGGATCAGGAAACATGTGTTCTTTTATGCCTGCCCAGGGGTGGACACAGAACCAGGGGATCCCCAGGCACTGTCGCAGCCTCCAGGCCACATTTCCAGAGTCCGATCAGAGGAAGACATCCCCACTGGAGTTACAGTGGTCTAGTCAGCTTTTAGTTTACCCCACTGACTGATGCGGAAATGTCACTGACCTACTGAGTCAGCTCGACCAGCAGGGGCCTGGAGGGCAAAGGGGAGAGATCAGAAACCCAGGCTTCAACAAGCACATCACTCTTCCTAGACCTCATCCTGCCTCTGGTGGAAATGTGTGTGCCCACCAGCCACACCCTCCTTACCCACCAGCCCACACCCAGGGAGGACAGACTACTGTAAAGCAAGAAAGATGTATTTGATGAAGAAGCAAACACCAATACTGGAATCTTGAAGAAAAGTAGATGTCATAGATTTAACAACTCTTTAAGAAGCAGTTTAAAGAAATTGCCTACCACAGTCTTCTCTCTACCATTTAAAACACTATGCTGATCTATCTAGAACAAATCATGTTAAGTGAGGTAAGCCCAGCTCAGAGGGACAAAGGACCCGTGTTTTCTCTCACGCACAAAAGCTAGATCTAAAATACAACAGGACATGATAAATTATACAGGAATTTGAGACCAAAGGAGGATACTCTTAGGGGAGGAGCACAAAGGCACAATGCCTATGTGCATCTGATCATATAAAATACTATCTATTGAAATGCACTCCAAGAAATAGAAACAAGAGGTTCTTTCTCTGTTGGTGTTTTTGGTTTCTTTTCTTTTTGTCTTTTCCATTTATCTGTCTTTGGGAGAATAAGAGGATGTGCATAGAAATGGAGGGACAAAGGGTGAACAAATGCAGCAGTGGTACTCACTGGACACTACGTTGAAAATGGACTACACAACTTGTGGGTGGGGACAGGAGGGAAAATCTGGGAGAGTGAGGGTAGGGGTGACATTGTCCAAACAGAAATGTACTCTCTACCTGACTTATGTAACTATAACCCCTCTGTACATCACCTTTATAGTAACAATCATGTGTAACACTATGCTTTAAAAATCTATTCTTTTTTTAAAAAAATTAAAACCTGGTCAGGTAATAAGCATTTAAGGCAATTTTATCTTTAGTAAAAACAGAAGCCTCAAGAAAGCCTAAATACTGCTCCATCCAGGCTGTATTTCAGCCTTTACACCTCAAATGCCCACAGTCGGTCTTCAAGTAACAGATGACGCCTCTCACCAATGACACTCCTATGAGACCTTCTAGAAGATCCAGCAACTTCCTTCCATCTTTGAGGTCTGTAAACATATCATTGATGGGTGGTTTTCCACTCTGCAATTAAAAAGAGAGAGAAATGAAAAAAATCCATCTATGCCTACACAGAGTCAGTAGTTTCATGTTTTCCATTAAAATGTGGATGGGGGCAAGTACAGAAGCAGAGAATTCTGAGGAATAATCAATCTTTTAAGCAGAAAGATATAACTAAGTTTCCCTTTTTTTGCTGGTAATAGGATTTGAACTCGGGACCTTCAGCTCACTCAGCTGGTTCTCTACCACAAGTCACATATCCAGTCTTGCCTTTTTTTTTTTGGCTGATTTTCCTTTTTTAGATGAAGACTTTATTGCCCAGGCTAGCTTCAAACCATGATCCTCTAGATCTCAGCCTCTTGAATACCTAGAGTTACAGTCATGACCCACTGGTACCCAGGAAAATTGAATTTCTTCAAACAAAGCTGTGGCCATACTAGTACTATGACTTGACTATGATATGTATTCTCAGAGGCCAGCTAAGACTGCACTCCTTACTCTACTATAACAGGGTGACATCGATCAGCATTTCCATTTTGGGAGCAAGCCATCCTCAATGTAGTGCCAAGTGTGTATTTCTAGTCACTTATTTAACAATTAAAACATTTTTTGGCTCTGTGTCCAAGTTCAGTCCTGGTCCAGTATGTAGACTGAGAAAACTGATATAATTCCTAAACTCTTTGTCCCCACCTGGTAAATTCCATCAATTGCATAGACACACACACACACACACACACACACACACACACACACACACAACTTTTCACTGCATTCACAAGAGCTGGGCCTTTTCCCAACAATGTGATTGCGAGTCAGAAAATCGGGAGCCTCAGTTTTAAGCTCAGCTTGACCCTAACTACCTACCTACCTACCTGCCTAATAAATCCCACTCGGTGACATCACCTCTTCAGCTACAAGGTACTGGAAAGATCAAATAATACGTGTAAAAATGTCCTGAGAACTGTAATGTGAAATGTAACAGAAGTATTACAATCTCCTATCAAATTGTTGGTGTTGGGACACACAGATTGTCTTCACTGATTAGCACAATATGTAGATTTGCATCCGATGGAAGCCACGTCCCAGAGACGTGCAATTATGACACATGGGGAAGGAAGTATTTAATCACTGGATGGGGCAGGATGCATTTAACAACTCCCCCAAAGAAGAGCAACCAGACATATTCCACATGTAAATGAACTCAAGCATGTGATTTTCCTAGCCCAGTGCTTTAAAGCACGTCGGGTGTTTTTGTGGTTCAGGCTATAAATAGTCACTCTGGGAAAAGAGTCTGGAAATGTCAGAAGTCATCTTTTAATAAAAATTAAAATGGATTCATCTAAACAGTTAACCTCTTATTTAGATTTTTCTTTTACTCTTTACAAAGACTTAGCTGCACAGACTGTTCTGACAGAGAGAATTACGTTTTACTAACTGAACTGGACAAATATTTGGTGAATACCTCCTTTGTGTGTGGCCCTGCAGAAATGTCAAGTTCAGGTCCCATTCACAACAGAGAGTTTCCAGTTTTCCAGTAAACACAAAATGATATAAATGGACAATCTTGAACTTGGGAGGCAGATAAGGCTTGAGTCCCATTTAACTTCCAAAAAAATGTAAAGGCAATCTGATACAGCCCCGTTGACATGTGCTGCTCCTGTCCTGTGACCTGCTTTGATTTCCCCCAATTCTCTATCCCTTTCCACCATTATGTCTTTACATGCTCCTAAACCCAGTTCTAACCCCACCATTTTAACAAGAAGAGCCAACATTCATTCCTACTGTTTAGGTATGATTGCTGCTGGGTTTAAAAGTGTTAGAGCAAGTGGCTCATGCCTGTAATCCTAGCTACTCAGAAGACTGAGATCTAGGGATGGAAGTTCAAAGCCAGAGTGGGAAAAAAAAAAGGTCAGTGAGATTCTTATCTCCAATTGCCCACCAAAAAGCCATAAGTGGCATTGTGGCTCAAGTGGTCGAGCACCAATGTTGAGTGAAAAGGCTAAGAGTACTATGGCTTGAGTTCAAGTCCCAGTATTGATACACACACAAAGAGTGTGTGTGTGTGTATCAATTGATACACGCACAAAGAGCGTCAGAGCAAAGAAATAAACTGTCATCATAACCCACAGAAAGAAGAGAGGGGGTGAGGTGAGCAAGGCCTGTCAACGGGAGGGGGCGTGGGGAGGCAGCCACGCTGCCGGCTGGAGATGGCAGAGCGAAGGTGGCAGCCGGCACACAGCTCCAGCCAAGCCAGGCCATGTGGGAATTGAGGCTCACTGTTGGCAGAACTTCCAGGTTTCCAAAAGAAGCTGAAAATCTGAATTGACATGTGTAATCTCCTGACACTGTATTTGTAATTTCCTAGATCATCCTGCCACACAAGTGCATGTGTCTACAAGTCTGTCAGGACATAGGGTAACTGACAGCCATGGCTGAGAATTCCAGTAGCATGGGATGAAACAAGCATACAATAATTGAATCATAAATGAATATAAATCTACTGGTGACCCGAGGAGCACACACAGGTGAACCATAGGATGAGTGAGTCTCTGGAGAAACTGTCAAACTCTGTAGATAGGCCACATACCCATGCTCATACACTGACTAGGGACCATGAATCAACGCAAAATCCTGCCTTGGATAATAAGTCATTATATTTGCTCAGATAGAAAACAAAGGAATTATTCCTGGTCCCTTGTCATGGTTTTCAGCAGCAGTGGTATTAGCAGTAGAAAAGACAAAACTCTCTAAAGTATTGAATGAGGCGAAAACACCATGTAGAGAGTGAGTTTGGGGAAAGGGGAATTGTTCTGTCAGTGAACACGTGAGGTAGAAGAAGGACCTGGGTTTTCCTCCTGAAGACGAATCAGGGCCTCCTCTGTCCTCTCAGTGTTAGGCATGAGGAGGAGGCCAAGTGCAGACCTGGCCTGAGGCGAAGCAGATGGGAAGGAAAGCAGTATCAAGGCCACTGGCCATCAAGAAGGCAGGATTCCGTGACTAGCTGTGTCCAAACCGCACAAATACCAGGACAGTACTATCTTGGGACTTACTCAAACCCACTGTGAATAATCATGTTACTACTCTCGGTGTAAAACAGAGTGAAAAGATAATTTTTGAATGCTTCTAGAACATTCTGTTTCCAACCAACATACGCTCTATCCTTTTTCTAAAGGGGATCTGAGGATCTCTATCAATTCATATGAGTAGTTCAAAACGGATGTCCAATACTTGATCTTATAATGACACTTAAATATAGTGCCTCTCTCTCTCTCTCTCTCTAAATTGGTTAACTTAAAACTTCATTAATCTGTAATCTCATCACTCAGCCATGTAGAAGTAGCCTAGGCTACATAGCAAAACCTTATCTCAAAAACACAAAGGCAAAACCAAACATCAAGAGAAAAAAAGAGAAAAAAGACTTTAATATTACTCAATATTTTTAAAGCAAGAATTTTTAACTTATGATTCCCAAGTATCAACAGTGATAGAAATGTATCATTCTTTTTGGTTCTTGAAATTCTACATATTCTTTAATCCATAGAATACATCAGTGAGCACTATATACAATGTCCTAGTTAACTACAGAATGTTGACATGAAAATACATTTTAAGAAATAGTTTACAACAAATAAATGGGAGTAGGAAAAGGGAGAAGGTGTAGAGTGGGTGAATATAGTCAATATGTTTGTGTGCATGTATGAAAATATCATACTTTTCAAAACTATTAGAGGTTAAGTGAAAGTTAAAAGTCTCTGGATTTCTTCTATTAGCTAAGGGTTTGGGGGGTTTTGTTGGTTTTTTTTGTTTTTTAGTTTTGTTTTGTTTTGTCAGTTATGGGGCTTAAACTCTGGGCCTGAGTACTGTCCCTCAGCTTTTCAGCTCAAGGCTAGCGCTTGCCACTTCCGGTTTTCTGGTGGTTTATTGAAAATAAGAGTCTCACAGACTTTCCTTTCTGGGCTGACTCTGAACCATGATCCTCAGATCTCCTCCTCCTGAGTAGCTAGTATTACAGGCTTGAGCCACCAGCACTTAGCTGGTTTTTTGTTTGGTTTGGTTTTTAACCAATGTCCATATATATATATATATATATATATATATATAGTCGGAAAAAAAATATTTTCAAAGAATGGTAAAATGATAAAGTGGCAAAATAATAGAATGATAAAATTAGGTTCATCTGCACTATAAAATTGTGCTGTAATCAAATGAAGACTGTGTGATCCTTGTATAAATGTCTGTGATTTAAGTCAATGGTAAAAGAAAGGAAGTGCAGTTGCTTCTGACTGAGAAGACTTGGAGGCACAATGAATCCTGAAACACGAATGCCAGGAATTTGAAACAGCTTCTGTTTGGGAATGGGTACCAGCCCAGTAAGGGAAGGTGAAGGGAGAAAGTGTAGGGTGGGTGAATACGGTCTAAGTTCTTCATACACATGTATGAAAATACAACAATGAAGCCTATTGTAATTGTGGTAAGAAGAAGGGAGTGGAGATGGGGGTGGGGCGGTATAAGGAGATACATTTGATAGGGGTCCATTGTATGTATATGGAAACAGCACAATGAAACCCTTTTATACAACTGAAATAAATTTACAGTAACTCTCAAGGAGAGACAGAGAAACATAGACAAACAGACAAGACAGACAGACCTAAAACTAACAAAGAGTGAGTACAGAGCTTGCAGCCATTCTCTAAGAATTCAGTGTGGTGAGTACAAGTTCTTAATGATTTTTAAAAACTCTGTTTAGAAGTCTGCTTGGAAGAAGGGCAGGGAGAAAAGCAAAGTCAAGCAAAACAGATGGCTCAGGAAATCACCGACTAGCACGACGTAACTACAGTCAGAGATTTACAGTGTGCACACTGACATCAAATCAAATGACAGGCACCTGCTTAAAACCTATAAACTATCATGAACACACCTGTTAACCCAACCAACACCCTTCAGGGGACCATAAGTCATAGCACAAGGAATAGAAGTTTCAACTTCATTTACATAAGAGAAGCAGCCTAGTGATGATGAAACCT